TCCAGATTTAACTACGGCTCTTTTGTAAAAAAAACCTATTTATCTACATATATGGGTCAAGAAAATTAACCAAACATTCCATCTGTTCTATTCTTATGAAATCCGCTTACATTTTCCAGATGAATGCTGCTTATCATTAGGTTAAACAGTTTTTATGTAACTAATTTTGCTGTCATTTCTAGTCAAACTGTCTATAACATCGCCAAGAAATATTTAAAAAAAAATCTGGTCTACCTGGCTGTCTGAAGCAACAAAACAGTGTTCTCCCCCTCATAAGTGCAGGAGGCTGTGGCGATACCATACATGTGAGGGAAGTTTGAGGACATAAGGTAGCCATGCCCGCCGCAAGCCTGACGGAGACGTTCGACCATGGCTGCGGAGTCACTGGAACTCAACGCCTTCAGGCAGCAGGTCAATACATGGAGCTAGGGGATTTATTTAATTTAAAAATGAGCTCACTCTTGATGTCAGTCCAGGCCGTTGACATGAATGAGATCTACGATGGGACAAGTTTATCCCGAAGGAACCTATTCACAATTGCCTTAAATAAGTCTTAGTTATAACACAGATACCGGCAGGAAGTACCACTCCTTTTCAATGCGCAGCAAAAAATATGACGAATAATACTTAATGCGGCATCTTATAATATCTACCAAATGAATATGGTATCCCATTGATGTACCCCGTAAAGGTAGAAGGGTCAATAGAAAACGTCATAAGTCCATAGGAATTAAAAGTTATTTGAATAAAAAAATATCTTTACTGATTAAATATTGCCTTTTTTTACAGTATCACTAGAATCTACGGCACCCGTTGAAATATTTGAAAATAATATGTACTTAGGTTAATATACACATGTGAAAAACACACTGTTTTAATACACTAACCTCGGGTAAACGGTCTGTTTTCCCTACACCTAACTCCGAAGTAACTTTGGTCAAGATGTCCCATAGCCACAATGCGGTCATGCTATAAGAGTAATAAGACGCTATGCCGATGAAGAGCTTATGTTGCTGAGAGACAAAATCCATTACCTGCGGCTCTGGTTCGCTGCAATGAACTACAGGGTTAGACGTTTTAATTAAAAAGCTGTAAACATAAGGCTGCTATTTTGTTTATTATTCAATATCGTAGCATGTTTACATGTTGATGTTTATTGTTTACACAAAATAATTCAAGGTCACTCTGGTTTTAACGTGTGGTTTTAATGTGTAACCGTTTTGCCGTTAAATTTAAATTGGCAAAGTTATTTTCTTTCGGCTGTTTGGGTGGATTGTCTAAACATTTATGAAAATACGCTCTGTAGTAGCGAAAATTCGTCTGTCCTATTAGGTCCTGGGTAGCTCAGTGGTTAGAGTACTTGCTCGGATTACGAAAGGTCATGGGTTCGAATCCCATCTCAAAAATCCAGGACAAAGTGGATTTTTTTAAACATTTTTCACTAAAAATAGATATCCGCTACTTTATAAATTTACCAGGAGACGTCGCAATTTGATAAATTATCGGAAATGTGGGCGTAAAATAACACAATTTATCTCTCGTTTAAAATCCTACTAAAGTTTAAAATTTCCTAGGAAAGGTATACACTTGCGGTGCTTGTTATTTTCCGGTGATATATACATCATATCTATAGATCAACGAAGTTGTACCAGTGTTAAACTGAGGCGCAGTTGCCTTCGTCTTTCAGTTACACTTGATGATATACATAGAAATTTGGAGCTTAAACGATATGATAACTTAACCACTAGTTTACCATAAATCAACACTTTAAACGAAAATTGTTTTTCAAATTTTATTATACTGTCGTGAGCACAGAAAAAAAAATTGTCGTGAGACATATACGTTTATGTTTTATAAACATTACGCTCGCACTCACACGCTGAGTTAAATAGATACTTAATAATGTTATGCATGTCGCATCATCTTTACGAAGATCGTTTGATTTAGTTTCTTTTATGTTAATTGCTAGTTATTCGATTACTTAATTACTCGATTGTAAGGAGCACGCTCTCTCTACAATCGAGTAATTAAGTAATCGATACTTTTAATTTTATTAGAATGGTGACACTGACTTTGACAGTACGTTTATAAAAACCAAGTTGCCGCCATTTTGGCACACATTCTGTTTCCGATCGCCGAGGAGTAAAGACATCCGACGAGATCACGCTCATCTCGTTATATTTTCGTACGAAAAGTGATAAAATGGAATAAATCCACGTTGGTATACACGCCTGCAATGTTATTTTAAAGATAGTCCCCTGATATGGACGATCTATTTGGACTTCGTAATAACCCATTCGGACTACCCGTCGTTATGCATATTAATTAAAGTAAAATCTAAGACATTGTCAAAATTCGTAAAACTTACTTAAATAATAAATTATTATTAATATTAAATGTTGACTTTCTAGTACTTAGAAGTTGTTATTTTTTTTTTTTCAAATAATTGACTTGCCGCTGGCACTCTGAGATGGAACTCGAATCCGTGACTTTTCGCAATACGGGCGACTGCTCTAACCACTGAGCTATCCAGGATCTAACAGGACTGACGAATCTTTCAAGCACTTGTTACTTTTTCACTACTACAGAGCGTTTTATTATCAAACATCCGAAAGAAATATTATTACAAATATTTTAAACTTTCGATAATATGAAAATTTATTATATTATATTGATGCAAATACATTTTGTCCCTGGCACTCTGAAATGGGACTCGTACCTATAACCTTTCGCAATCCATTTTTCATTAAGAATATTTTTCAGATAATTAAATGCAAATGATAATTATACGCAAAATACAACAGGATCAGGATCTTCATAAACAATCAATACGTATGCGAAAAATAAGTTTGTTCATACGTCAAATTTGTTCGCGAGTCAGGCTAAAAAAAGTTTTTGTTACTTACACAAAAGAACGAAAATATCTGATTCGTTCATACAGCCATTCGGACAGTGCGGGTGATTTTTGCCTCGCTTACTCACATATCTGGTATAGTGCCTATTCATTCATCCGGACATCGAACGTTCGACAGATTACCGCACCTACCGTACTCATAAAGAAGGCAGCACTTTCGTACTCGGGATTACGATTTAGCTTTTGGTAACGTTTCTTTTAATACAGTGCTAAATCCGCGCCAAATCGCTAAAATCGCGTCATAGCGTAGGTGTGTGTATCGAAAGTTTTTTGGTGGTTTTGTTAAAAAAAGCAACATAAGTCTTTTTAAATTAGTCGAAAATGTTCATTTTTATTCGATTGTTGTTAATAACATTTTAATTTATCTCTACCTGACTGTGGAATTCCACAATTTCTTTTGTTATTTTAACTTCCATTTTGAGGTTATTATTACTTTACTTACCCATCTTGCTCAACTCGATTTGAATTCATTTTCAATATAGTTCATAGGGTTTTCTTTTTCAGATAATAATAATGATAATAATCTTTTAATACATACATTAATAAATTGGCATTTTTGGTTACAAATTAGCACTTAAATTATTTTGAGCCCTCAGGGGCTTCACTGGAATTAAATCTGTTTTTGGAAGTCAGTGATTCCTCTTATCTAAAGGAACATTTTGCAATCATCGTTTTATATATTGGTAGAACTTTTGTGTGTATGTGTGAGTGAGTGTGTGTGTGTTTGTGTGCGTTTATATATTCTATTTGGTTTGTCCACTTTAACATGTTCTCTGTTTCGAGATAGTTAAATGACAATAACAAACTCTCGATAATGCTTTTCACAGTGTGCTTGGTATATTTTTTTTTTTATGGGATAGGGGGCAGACGAGCAGACGGATCACCTGATGGTAAGTGATTACCGTCGCCCATGGACACCTGCAACACCGGAGGGGCTACAAGCGCGCTGCCGGCCTTGGAGGGAAGGGTTGAGGGGTAGAGGGAAGGGAATAGGGAGGGGTTGGGCCTCCGGTACCCTCACTCACACGACGAAACACAACGCAAGCGTTGCTTCACGTCGGTTTTCAAACGTGGCTCTCCCACGGTTAATTAAACCGATATATGGTATGTGAATATATCGGTTTAATTTATTTACTCCCACGAAATCCGACTTTTTAATTTGATGATAAACAGGAGTTCCCGATCTCTTCATTGTTACTGTATGATCAAAAGGTATTGAAGAATGCTTACGTAAAAGAATACGAAGTAATGATAGCTGCCTTACTGTGCCTTACTGCTGAGCCAATTGCAAATGAAGAGGACACTTTATTTTTATTTAATTATGGTGTACAATAAAAGTATTTATTCATTCATTCTTTCTTTAAACCTACAAAAGTTTTGGTTTTGAATAAAGCTGTACACAAAGACGTTCACATTAATGTAATGGCTAGTGAAGATTCTCTATCTGACAAAGAAAATTTAATTAACAATATAATATTGTGTGCTACGCCAGTGAAATTATTTAACTTAGTTATTGTTAATTTTTCATTAACAATAACTAAGTTAATAAACTTATCTTTAATGTCTATAATAAATTACACTTAAAAGAAAACTGCTGCCGACAAATAAAAAAAAGCTTCTATGATTCTTTTCAATTTATAATTGGTACACTAATCCGCAGAGCAAAGAAACATAACTTAAACAAACCGTCTTATTATAAAACGAGGATAACTTTAGAAACAGATTTAAACCATTATCCTACCAAAATAATTCAACACGTTTCAATTTGCCGTTTTCTCTTCAGTCATTGTCGATTTGCTTTAGTCGGGCAATGATTTAAACCAAGTACTTTAGACCTCGTTTAATAATAAGATGGAATATATTTGATATCTTTAACGCTATGACTCTCAAAAACAAAAAGCAAAGACGCTATTTCACTTACAATTCTTAAGAAACCTCGTATTTCTTGTAATGTTTCTTTTAAAATAATACAAGTCCAATCAGAAAACTATTCATAGTCTTTTAAAGCCAATTTCCAATTGGACCTATTTGAACGATATTAAACAGGGACAATAAAGTAAACCTAGCTGAGTTTCATTCAGATTCTTCGCAATTCTTCGACTGTAAAAGTGATCGTTTCACTAATATCATATAACTCACCTATGTTGTTCAAAGAAATTTTTATTGTGATCTTCCACTTTCTTAAGCTCTTTTATAGAACAACACTGCCTTACGAATTGCATTTTCGTATCGTTCTTTATGACTAAGAAGACGGATATTTCTAAGTACAATATCTGTCTGTATGTTTGTCTATCTATCTATTTGTCTGTTTTTCTGTATATCTGTCTGTCTGTATGTCTGTCTGTCTGTCTGTCTGTCTATCTATCTATCTACCTATCTATCTATCTGTCTGTCTGTCTATTTATCTGTCTGTCTGTCCATCTATCTATTTTTCTATCTATCTATCTGTCTGTCTATTTATCTGTCTGTCTGTCCATCTATCTATCTTTCTATCTAACTATATCTTTACGCTGCATCCCTTGCTATGTAGGCAGAGAAGACCAAACACCGTAATACGTTACATATTTTACTATATCATATTAGATTATATAGAAAATCCAGAAATAACGTCTCGGGAATAGTCTCATAGGTGAGATATTAAGGATTGCGAAAATGAGATAGTATCTGAAATTATAAAGTTCCTTCGAGTTAATAAAAAAAAACCAGTACCTCAGAGATAGTTACACCCTGAAAACAGCGAGCGAATGACTCGACCATTAATGTAGTCCAAAAAGTATTATGCGTAATTATTTAAAATAATAATAACATTATTTTCATCGCTCACGATAAAAATAGTCTATTGAGCTCTTAATGTTATAAAATACAATGATATGATAATCATAACAATTTATTAGAAAACATTATTGCAAATGAAAATTTGAAACTTCATTGTTATATCTCAAATATTTATCACAGTTTATTCATCGTAGGCTTCAGGTACTTGTGGAAGCTCTCGTTGACTGGCTCCTGGTTGAGAGGACTCTTGAGGGCTTCCTCCATCAGTCGCTCGTACACGCGACCGTCGTACGAACCCAAGGTCGATTTCAGAGTCTAGAATACAACAACACTGTGAATTCAAAGCAGATAGTCCATTAATACTCGAAAGATTATCCGCAAAGGTATACAAAATTTTTGATGAGACCAAAATGGATTTTCCTCCTGCAGGGCAATTCTTAGTAATATTAGCATCTCAATAAAAATTTAATATTACTAGCTATATCTCTGTCACCATTGATGTATGAGGAAGACATTGCACTAATATTGGACTTTCGGTATAGGTCAGAGGTTCCCAAACAATTTTTTCTCGTAGACCATTTTAAAAAATGTACTGTTTTCGGTGGACCCCCTGCTGCTACACTTTTACCATATTCCCAAAATTCGTCCAAAAATGTGAAGATCTAACGCTGGACTTTAGGACCACTTAGGACCACTTAGGGAATCAATGGTATAGATAGTACAATGGCCAAATGCAAGTAGAGATTCTATTGAGATGTAATTATTAGGTAAACATTAGACTATATCAAAACATCAAACAACTATTTTGATATATGATCTTTCACCATAAACACGATATCTCATCATCATCATCATCATATCAGTCGAGAGACGTCCACTGCTGGGCATAGGCCTCCCCCGAAGATCTCCAACGTGATCGGTCCTGCGCCTCCCGCATCCAGCGGCTTCCCGCGATATCTGTTTTAAGCTAAATACTCACTTCGTCTCCGATATCGAAGGCGTCGACCAACCCAACGGCATTAGGTCTGATTTTCCTTAACAAATTTTCATATCTCTGTTGAATATTAATAAGATCACTCTCTGATACCCTCGTATACTGAAAGAAGAATGCGCTTTATGAACACAATTTTTGCTTCTTTTTTGTGACTGCTAAATATGTAAAGTTTTATGAATAAAATATTTATGGAACATGAAAACAATCCGTTTGACCTTCAGAATGAACTCTTCTTGCACCGATATTAGATTTGTATTACCGAATATCATCAGTACTCGCGAACATTAATGTGAAAGCTGAATATTACACTTAATCTGGAATATTTGATTTGATATCACTAATAAGTTGTGATTCCAGGTTGGGGATTCTGCAGACCTTTCTGCATATATTTGTGGACTTTCAGGAATCCGCGGTACAATGGAACACTATCTTAGACCTTGAATAATAATTTTAATCTGTACAAAGTTAAAGCAGAATAGTAGGCGCAATGTATATCAGCATCATCCCGTAACAGTATGTCGCTTTTATTTTGTTTAAGAACATTGTGGTGATATTAGTGTCGTAGGAGAAACAGCTACTGTTTTTAATAATTTTTCCTAAAGACAAAATTACAATCACACTTACTGTTAACAAGTCTCCAGTTCTCTCTAAACTCCAGTATAGTAAGTAGAGATCGGAAAGCTGCTTCATCACATCCTTTATTGCATCACTTTGACCGAAGCTCACTGACCGTACTGACTCCGTCTGGTACACTCTGCACAGGATCGCTCGACAATGGGCCTAAATAGACACGCTACCATTAACGTAACATTTGAAGGTTTAATTTGTAATTTTGTTTAATTTGCATATGCAGTATGTACAATGAAAACTGTAAAACATACTTTTAATTTGTATTTTCACCCGGTTGTCACCTATTTTGTACACCTTAATAAATAAATATTAATAAGTAAATGGTATTAATCTATTATCATCACCTCAGCTGCCGATACTAGTTGTATTGTGGACAAATGCCATGCATCCTCATAATCTAATCCGTTTTTTATGTGCTTTCTTATATTGGCAACACTTGCTCTGATTTTCCTATTTCAAACAAAAAATACCACAATTAATACCTTCACCGTGTTCTCTATTCTATCTACCGTTATATGACAATGTGTATTTATAAAATTTGTACCTGCTTATAGGACATCAATATCATTAACTTTACTTTTTCATTTATCTAAGGTAACTTCTAGCTTAATAAAGTTACACCAAAATTTAAATCAATATAAGCCACTATAAGCATGATTTAAAGATTCTTTATACCCCGCTGCGATAGCTTCAAAGGCCCTTATAATTCCCTCAGGACTCTCATCCCACGCTTCTCTGTTCTGATGCCTAGCCAAATACGCGACCATTGGAGTCACCGCATTACCGAGTTCCACTTGCTCCCAAGTCTTAACTAAAAATCTGGAACAATCCAAAATCATAATTATGTTTATGAGTATGAGTTATGTAATAAGTATTGCCAATTATTTATTCATATCATTTGGTTGTATCTTATGCGTTAATTGAAACGTTTGATAAATTTCAAATTACTGCCTCGTTCCTTTCTTGGAAAAAGAATCTCGATACACCAAAACTACATAAAAAAATAAAAAAACAAAAAACTTCAATAACACTGTTGCCGAGGGCAACCTTTTTATTAATTTGCATTTCAAACTTCTTAATTGTTATTTGTTTTGTATTGTCTATTGTTTTCTTTGTTTGTTAACGTCATTGTCCAAGTACATTCAAGGATACAATAATATTTTTTTAGAATCTTAACCCTGACCGTATCTTTACTTTTGCCTATAGACATAAAAAAAAACAAAATTATGAACCTTGCTGTCTGCAACAGAAGCACGGTGTAGTCGCCCTCGTAGGTTCTAGTCGCTGTGGTGAAAGCATACAGTGATGGAAGATTAGAGGAAATCATATAACCATGTCCACCACAAGCGAAACGACACTGTTCTATTGCAGCAGAACAGTCGGACGTGCAGATCGCTTTAAGACAGCTGGATAACGCGTGCAACTGATGCAAAGGAACATTGAAAATATTACTAGTTATCTTCAACCTAAATCAAAGGATCGTGTGAGTATTGTGAGGCCAAAATCGATTGGTTAAGTATGTACATTTTTTTAAATGTTATACAAATAAGCATCACATCATAACCTCCATTAAGTGGTGTGTCAAGAGTCAATAAGCATTGTAAGTCCACAGAGTCGCTATCCATACGCATTTAGATATATCATCTTCATACAATTTCCATGGTTATTTCATCATATACCTAAAGTACTGTCGGCAAAAAAGGTCTACACTTTTGGAAATCACACTTAGAGTACTTTCAAATAGGGACACTTTGTATACAATACTACCGTATTTAAAACCAAAAGTTACTTCTGGCAAGGCGTCTGTATTTCCGTGCTTCATGTTCGCTTGGACCGTGTGATAAGTCTTCATCAACCAGTTACTGGTGAACTGGAAGGCGTACACTGTAGAAATGCTGATGAACAGCTTATGCTGCTGCGTCAGGTAATCCAGCACCTGCGGCTCCGGCTCACTGTCATATGTAATATTTACACATAAATAGTTGGTCGAATCACGAAAAAATCCTTTCGATTTGATTAATCCTCAATTCCTTCTAATAGAAAAGGAAAGAGTTCACCTTTTAGAAAAACAATAAAGATACTTTAAGACTAACGAAGCGAATCTTGGATATGGAAGACTAAAATAAAAATCACCAATCTTTTACACCAAAGAAGGTGCAATGTACTATCAGCTAATACCATCATGCACATTACAGCTCCTCATCATCCACCTCACATTACTCCACCGCGTAAAGTTTGATGCGAAAGCAGATTTTGAGTATAAATTAAAGAAGGAGGACAGACAGCAAAATAAGAATAAATCTCTTCTTTAATTAAAACGCTCTTTGACTTCTATAGAGTAGCGCCTTTGACAGAAACGTCATTACTCTTCGACCAAAAAGGCTAAGGGCCATTGGATGCACGTGTTTCTTTCATTGCATAGTTCACATAAATACAGTCTTAAATTTGAGAAAACAAAATCTGTTATAAAATAATCTTACTTTGGTTTTAACTCAGACTGCCTCCTTACGGCCGAGTACCTCACAGCGATCGTCACAGCTTTTGACAGATTGAAAGCCATCTCACTGACCAGTAACACCCTGACGAATATCATCGTACCATATGTGAGTTTACTGTGTCTAGCTATCTTCACATATGTGCCGTCCTGAAACAAAACAAGTAAATAACAGTAAAGGGGAATACCCGCTCCCCGTAGTGACTTAGGCCAAAGATGGATTTTTGATTAACAACAGATGTTAAGAATATCACAACTTAATAAATAAATGTAAAAATCAGTACTTAGTTATCATTCACATGTATTTTTAAGTTAGTTAAAAGGATATTGTATTTTAGAAAATATGCTAATTCTTACTTTTAATACTTTGGCATGCTTCATCATTAGACTATCTCTAGGTATGCGAAAATTGTCGAAGACAAGGAAACCATTATCTGCCGTCTGAAAACCCAACCGTGGGCCTATCTCACCCACTTTTAAGCCTTTTAAGGGCATGTGTGTGTCCATGTCTCGTATTTGTACAATAAATGGGTGAGTTCCATAACATTCTCCCTTTGTGTACAGTTGCGCGACGACTATACAATGATTGGCAGTTTTACCCACTGAAATAAAAAAAAATCGCCACATGCTTTTATTTGTGATTATATATTTGAAAATGCATTCAAAAAAAGTTTTATTTAAAAATATGTTTTAGTTTCATCACATTACCAGCCCTTTTTACCCATTTTAGCCCGTTTTAGTTTATTTTTTTATATTTCTAAGCAGTTTTCTAAGATGATGGATACTTCTTAGAAAACTGTTTCATTTGATACCCATGTCTTAAGAAAACACAAAAAAATATAAAGTACGTACCACAATATTGCCGATTTATTTTAATAACTTTATTGTACAATGAAATCTTGGTGGATAAAAGTAAACAGATATTTTTGTTATTATGAAAATTATTGCAATAAATCTCGAAAAGTAGAGAAAAAAGAAAACAAGTAAAATTTACACCAAAATGTAATTTTAGGCATATTAAAAACAAAAACGCAACATGCATGACATTTTCACACATGCCAAGAGCAGCTGACTTGTTTGTTCATGATAGGATACTGAACGCTTTCAATTGATGTACAATAAAAATATAAATCTCTTTCTGCTTAAAGCACAGCACACTCGAGCCGCTGTTTAATACTCAATAAATCATTATCAAAACAGTATTTACATCCTCCAGCCCACCACTTGCTTGAAGACAGGGTAGGACTGTTCAGGACGAACTCCTCCGTCCTCTCATCGTAGGTGGCTGTTGTCTCCAACCCTCGGATGAACGTTCCGTGCCCCAACTCGGTCTGCAATAATAGGTGCAGTCATCAACATGTTAGATTTTTTTTTATGGGATAGGCGGCAGACGAGCAGACGGATCACCTCATGGTAAGTGCTTACCGTCGCCCATGGATACCTGCAACAGCAGCGGGGCTACAAGCGCGCTGCCGGCCTTTGAGGGACGAATATGATCATAGGGAGGGAAGGGTTGATGGGTAGAGGGAAGGGAATAGGGAGGGGTTGGGCCTCCGGTACCCTCACTCACACGACGAAACACAACGCAAGCGTTGCTTTACGTCGGTTTTCTGTGAGGCCGTGGTATCACTCCGGTCGAGCCGGCCCATTCATGCCGAAGCGTGGCTCTCCCACGAGGGGAGGGGGGGGATTACAACACAGGGCTCTTTAATTAATTTAATGGAGATGAGTCTGCTCTATACAACTTAATCATAACACTATTGTTATCCAGTTTTATTCTTTTAGTATGCATTCTGTATTTTAACAAATTATTATCAATGTGTTTGTTTGAAACGGCGTAAGTATGTTATTTTTAATATTGTGATGGAAAGTAATTTCGTATTCTAATGAAGTAATTTTTCAATTTAATATCTTTGAAAAAAGCAGCCCTAGCTAAAATTCTTGCCGGTTCTTCAAGGTGCTAGGTCTCCCGCTCCCGCCTCAGATTCATGAACCGATGGCATCTAGTTACAACTTTCACATGTATATAACAGCCTAAACTTAATAAATTATTTTAATTTGATCTTTCCTTAATCTGTGGTTGTCCTCTTAGAATGTTCGATATATTGACTATCCACGGCCAAAAATTGTTCTATGCAAATACATTATTTCGTTTTCGTATTTAACTATTTTCTAAACTAAATAAAATCCAATGAAACTCCCAAAGCAAAAGTTGTTCCTAAGCATTAGTACTTTCATTTGACACTAAATTCATCAATGGCCGCCGATAGCCTAAAACCGCCCATGCTCCTTTGCTTAGTATCTAAATTGTTCTGAATACATGTACGTTCTAGACAATTGCCTAGCTTTTTGATTTGGTTAACTTTGGAGGCTTTTCCAACACAACAGAATAAGTGCAAGGCGTTTATTTACCTGTGCATAAGTGCCAATGATCTTCAATTGCATCGCAAGCGGCAGCCAGTGAGCAACCTGTTCATCGCTGCACTGCCCAAGAATGGTGGGAATGAACATGCCCAAGTGTAGAAGAAATGGAGTGACTTCTCTGAAGTATGCGTCGGAGACACGACGAAGCGTCAATGTCAAGTCACTGCAAAGTCACTCAAACTCTTGTTATGAATACACCTTTTGTGTGATAACTTTCTTGGTAATGTTTTTGAATTTAAATACTAAATAATTAACAGAATATGCAATAAAAAAAAACAATAAAATAAAAAGTATTTCTTAAAAATATCAAAGGCTATCACCAAACTTGAGGTTCAGTTCAGGCAAAGATTTGCTGACCATACATTTAACCGCCGTAACTTAAAATTCTAGAATAAAAACTAATCTAATCTAATCTGTTAAGTTCCAAAGGAGATGTGTACTTACAAAATTTCAAGTTTCCAAGAAACTAATTCAAACCTCGTGAAGATCTACTGGAAAAATTATAATTATCATCCAAATATATGTCGACGACACCGCCCTAAAGTATTTCTAATACCATCAGCCTAACAATGGCCCCATTGCTGGGGTATAAGTCTTCCTTGTGGATGAAATCGAATCGAATCGTAGAGTGGGTCACGGCCTAGTCCGGATAGCTGAGTGTTAACAACTCCAGATGCAGATTTCAAAGACTTAACGTGCCTTCTGAAGAACGGAGGGAATTGAGAATAATATTTTTTGATCATTCATCCTATAACTCTTACGAACGTTGCTTAGCCTTCGCATACTGTAACAACGGGCTCTATATCTGGATAAATTTATAAATTTAAAACTATTTTTAAGAAATAATTTCAAGCTAAATCAAATAGTCTGACTGTCAGTGTCACAAGGTCAAACAATTCTATTGAATTTAATGTATTGATGAATAAACAAGCACACTGGCAAGTATGGGCAAATCAAAATAATTAATTCCTTTTAATTCAATACAATATCATATACACACATCAACATCGTCTAGGGATATTTTGTATATAGTTCTAAATTCAAAAAATACTGGTTGGTTTTAAAATTTTTTGAAGAAATATTTATGTTTTATTCTATAATCTACGCTAATAAATGGGCTTTGTATAATATAAACATGTTGTATACCTATTTCGATTCGATCGGTTCAGTAGTTTTAGAGATGAGACTGACAGAGAACTGAATGATATGTGTTTCGTGTAACATTTTTTGATACTTAACATAGGAATTATCAAAAACGAGGACAAAATTAATAGGACATCGGAACACGGAACAATATCATCGAAATCGAAACCACACCATCAACGACGAAATTACATAATTTTCACATAAGATAGTTGCCTAATTGGGGCATCTCCTGTTTCGGGCACCTCATCATCATCCTATTAAAGAAACTTGCACCTATACGTGCATTTTTTGATACTTACGGTATACAGTTATATTATTTACTATATTATTGTATCTAATACAAACCTTAGCTCTTTTGCCTTTGTGACTTGACTCACTAACTCCACTCCAATTTTGTTCAGGGCGACAGATTTTCTGACAGCATTCTCGTATTTCTCCTTGGCGCTAAGGCATTCCTCTGGGATGATGTCGAAAGGCATATTTTTAAGGAGCATGTTTTCTATAAAAATAATTTAGCTTCCTTAAAAACATTTGAAATAACCTAGTCACAGAGAAATTAAAAAACATATAACAATATTTCAAGACTCCCCGAAAAACGTTTACATCTAATCTCGTACAAGTATATCATTACGTCTACAATGAACGTTCTCCCAAATGGATTTGTGCAAATTTTGGTGACTTTACCGATCTTGCTGCAGTATATGAGTGCATGCTGATAGCAATATTGTACTGAGTATATGTATACTGTCGTCACTTGAGTTCTTTAAGAAATTCCGGAAAAAACTTTATCTTGCAGCAAGTACGCACACAAGATATGTTTTGATGATGAGTGGACTCCTTCTCCGACATTTTTAACATTCTTTCGTGCAGCAGGATCACTATATTTTTTAATATCTGGATCCGTACGAGAAATCTTACCAATTTCTCGCCTCCGAGCGGTTTGATTCTTCCCACCATCTATCAAGTTAGTAAGTTCTTCTATATCAAAACTGCAATTCTTTCTTTCTTTCAAAAGATCAGCGTTAACATTAGCTATTGGCTTATTCCTCATGACTTTTTATTATTTATTGTTTGAACAATGACGATACTCTTCGATAAGTGACGCTGTCACTACTAACACTACACTGTATAGTACGCGTTTCAATAAGATCGTGTCATCAAATGAATTGTTAGTTATTTTTGTATTAATTAACATAAATATACATAAACGTCATCGCGGAAATCACGAAACGCATAAATAATTTATACGACAGTTCAAAGTGTTGGGGACCGTTCAACTATTACGTAACGCAATTTTTTAAAGATTTTCGACCCCCCCCTCCTCCCCATGTAACGCACCGTAAAGTTTTTATGTACCCCACCCCCCACACCCTCTCCCTGTCTAAACGTTACGTAAAACTCAAGTGACCATTTTTAACCTAAAGTCGCAAAAAGTAATGACGGTGTTGATAAAAGTGATTCGAAATCATAAGGGTATTCGCTGTGGAGGATGTGGATTTCCCGTTCCTTATGGAAATGTGTATCAGCCCGCTGTACCCAACAGCTTCTTCCTTACCAAAAAATGTTGGGTTCCACGTTGACGCCGACGTATACAGAAGGAATAATTGTGCCGCTCTGTCCTGCCCTGCGATTCTGTAAAAATCCAGACCCGATTTCGAATTCACTCAAGTGTCCGAATTCACGACATTTAGTATAGAAATCCTATTGATTCCATTTTTTGTATAAAAATACTTAACAAAATTGATTGATTAAACGTGTCATAGAAATTTTAATCCTATATCATTTCGAAACTCACTTCACTTATTTCACGAAACATTATTACCAATTCAATTTTGAGCGGATGCCGCTTTTCGAAGTGAATTCGGACACCCGAGTGATTTCGAAATCGGGTTTGAAGTTTTACAGAATCGCAGGACTGATCATGAGTTATGATCAGGTAAAAGTATTTTGTATTCCATATGCATAAGAGTATATTGTATTCTTGGCATACCTTTTTTATTTTAAAAATGACGACCAGACTATACAATCGAGAGATTTCTAATTTGGGAGTATAAATTCCCAAATTTTTTATTAAAAAAATGTTACGTGACGTGTTGTAAGAAAGACCCCCCTCTCGCCCCTATAACGCATCGTAACGTTTTACATCGTCACCCCCCAAATTGCGTTACATATAATACTTGAACGAGAAGGGGGTATCGAAAATACAAGATTAAAAATTAAACTGAAATTATTTATATCCTTACAATAATACAATTTATCCTTTGAGGTACGTTGTACCTACATATAATTTGATTGTATTAAATTCAATTAATTTAATTGTATACATATATAAAAAGGAATGTCCTGACTTACTGACTGACAGACAACGCACAGCCTAAGCCGCTGGTCGTAAAGACTTAAAATTTGGAGGATACATTCCTCTAATTATGTAGAGGTGTGCTAAGAAGGTATTTTTGGAAATTCCACCCCGAAGGGGCTCGAGGAGGTTGAAAACGTTTGTATGAAACTTCTTTATTTTAGGACCTTTATCAATAAAAATGGTATTTAAGACGTTATGAAGATCATAAGTTATATTTTATCCCGAAATCTAGCACTTGAAGGGATGAAAATATGAGTGAAAGTTTTTATAGGGAATCAAAATGTTACCATAGCAACCATTGTTGACAGTTTGATTTATCATTGTAATAAAACTTGATATTTGAGTACAAAATTGATAACAAAAATTACATTATAAATAAATATTTTTGAATATAATCACTCAGTTGGCTACGACATATCCATTATATATTGACAGTTTAAACTTTTAATTTCCATTTCACAGCTGATTTATATTGTTCTTACAGTCAAATTACACAAACGTCCATTAAGGTTTAATGACACCTTTAAGCTCTAATAAATGTCAAAATTGATTGGGTTATATCTCTTAAAACTAATGAAAATTTTAATGGACGTTTGTGCAACTGGCTTTATGTCTATTTATTTCGGTAGCTGCCTGATAATGTATTATTATAGAATAATATATTATTGCTCATTATTAAGGAGAATCGTTTAATTATTCCATGCTAATGTTATACATGCCAAAGTAGGTATGTGTATATGTCAGTTGCGCTCTTACGCTTAACCTACTAAACAGAGTTGACTTGAGATAGGACATAGGTTGCTATTATTGTGATAAATAGATTGTACGAAAGTTCGTCATTGTCAAAGATAATATCATGAAAGTTTAATTCAGGTGTTTTAAACGATATAATGAATAAATATTCGTTTTAGAAATGCTGCTCAAAGTAACTTTACCACGCAGACGAAGTCGCAGGCAAAAGCTATTGTTGTACTAAATATAATAGACTATATTGTCTAGGAATAGGGTGTGATACTTTCTCTGTGTCAGATCCTTATGTACAGTGTCAATTATTTAATATCACTCTTTGAACTAAACTTAATATAAATCTAATATATATTTGTTGTTTTTTTTTATATTATTGTTTATGGAAAATTCCATAGTAATAAAATATCTGTTACTTTGTTATTTTTACAATTAAAAACACAGTTTCATCAAACCTATTCTTTGTGACCTAGTTTGTGCAAGATTGCTGTCAATGTTTGATAATTTTGAAATTAAACGCCTCAATTTGTTAAAAATATATTAGATAAGTATGTAGGGTACTTAAAAATAAATTTATTTAAATATGAAAATGTGAATATCATAATCATGTAACTTCATGTAACATTTCATAACAATTAAAAATAAAACCACAATGCGCGGCGCATTAGTTGAATCAAAATGGAGATTTTTTTGCGCACGATCCGGGTCTCCAGAATACTGCGTTGCTATGGTTCCGATTTGCGTCTCACCCCACACCTCCTTTAAGACCCCAAAAAGTCGTACTGCACAGTCGCCATACAAGTTCAACTAACGCGTCGCGTATTATACAATATGTAAATTTTTTTAAAGTGTGGCATTTGAATTTGTATGAAGTCTAAGAGAAGAGATGACGAAACGAAACTTTACTCTTTGGGCCCATCAATGAAACATACAGTCCCATGAGCCATTGCACGAAATTGTTACAGAGTGTCAAATACTATTTTCAATTAAATTCCTGGCATATATAAAGGTTCAATTACAAAGGCATTTTTTTTGTTTTATTTTCATAAAGAAAAAAAACCCTTTTGTCCAAATAAACACTTAGGCTTTAGTTTTCTGGGTTATAAATGATCTTGTTAACAATTTGAAATAATCGATTTTTCTTTAGGCGTCGCCTTAGTAAATTATTTTACCAACTTTACCCACTTTAACCTGAAAATGCTCTAAACTGTTTAATTTAATGTATGTAACAAAGTTTTTAATTAACTATATAGCATTATTTAAATACACATAACTATATAATACATATAACTAACCTGCAAATGTGACGTCAAATAAACGTCGTACTATAGGGTATTTGACACAATTAAAATGAAGTTGCGTACTATGGTCATCCTGTTAGATAATAATCTAAAAAAGTTTATTTCTTAGAATCTGCAGACAAAATATGTTAAGCTTTAGTAAAATGCCGTGAAGAGAATGCAACATTTTTGGAAATATAATGAAACGTAAACGCCCTGTAATTGTTTGTCATCGTAACCAATAACTGTTACCGGCATATGACGTCACACGTAAACAGGAAGCTGTTATGTCAAAACAGTGTTATTCAAGACACGCAGAATTTGTATTTATACCTACATACAATAATGTAGCTGATTTTTATAAACAAAACCAGAGTAGATACAAATACAGAACATAGAATTTTACTTCAATTTCTCTTCTGTAATACTTTTTGTTTACTTCGTAAATAAATAGTTGATGAATTGGTTTTGTCGCCTTGAATTACATATCACCGTTATGTGACGTCACAAATACCACGTGTTCAGTGCCATTACATAGAGACAGTGTGTTTGTAATGTATCAAACAACCGTTTAATATAGTTTTCAGAAAAGCGTCAAATACCCTATTGCTATCGAGTAATTTATTTATTAGTTTTTAAGAAACAAACGGCTAATTTCAGATTGTATAAGGGTCTAGTTCAGTCTCCAATAATATTATACATTAGAGGGTTATACAATTGTGCTTATAATATTATATACATTAACATTTCGAATTGATATATTAAAGCTTAGCTTTCTCCATCAATGGCTTCAGGTACTTGTGGAAGCTCGCGTTGACTGACTCCTGGTTGAGTGGACTCTTGAGGGCTTCCTCCATCAGTCGCTCGTACACGCGACCGTCGTACGAACCCAAGGTCGAATGCAGAATCTGATGAAAAGTAATGCATAATAATAAAAATAAGGTTTAACCCAACACTATGGGAAGGCCTACTGATTTTGTTTCATAAACTGTACTCCTCGATTAAAATTGGTAAATTCAAAGAACAAGTCAAATTACGTATCTCTTGAATATGGAACATAGTGGTGTAGCGTTAAATAATCTAGACTTAAGAAGTCTGTATGACACCTGCTTTTTTGGGCGTGTACTTTATCAATCTGAAAATATGATCTTTCTGGCCCCTCAAGACTTTTATACGAGGCTATGGGCGAAACACGGCTTGGTCCACGGCGTTGCTACGACACTGCAACACTATTGAAACGTGAAAGTTCCATTATCTGTTATTATTAAAAAAATAAAAATAAATACACATATATCGCACTCATCCCAAGTTAGGAGCTTAACCTACACCATGGAGGGCGTCAAAATTAACGCTAACGCACAAAAAGTAAAACCCTGCCGTTCCACTTCAAGTTGTAATCCTTGTAATGCTGCTCATTTGTTTAAAAGTAATAATTTTGGATATTTTAAATACCTCATCTCTTAAATCAAAAGCATCAACCAATCCAACTGCATTTGGTCGTATAGCTGCCAATAACTCCTCATATTTCTCTCTTAATATTGCGATGTCGTCTTTACTGATATTGGAATACTGAAATAATACATGATTGCTTTTAAAACCTTGCGGATGTTTATTATTTAAAAATAACTTGGCAAATTCAATTGTGTCAGAAACCGCTTTTCGCTTACCGGACCTACCAGAATGTATTTGTCACTAGCGTTTGTAGTGAGCGTATTTTAGACAATCTTTACTTTAGACAAGTTCACCTTATTGTGAAAATAATAATCAGTAAAAGCAAGAACTACTAATTCAACTGTAACTTTTACAGTAACAGTATAAGTGACAGACTAACCATATATAATTTCACGTAAACGGCCAAAAGTAATAAATTGAGGACTACTTCTCTAAGTAAGATCAAAAGACCTTATTCCTTAAAGATCAAGTTAAACCTAAACCTAGCGTGTATGTTTGAAAATACTTATTATGAACGAAAACAATATGTAATAATCAAAACGTGAGAAGATATAGTGAAGATTATAGGTAGTATACATTAAAAATTACTTAATATAATGTTGTTCGTACATACCACCAGAAAGTCTCCGCTAGTTTCCAACGTCCAATAGACCAGGTACAGCTGTGCCAACTGCTTTAACACTTGTAACAGGTTTGGAGATGCCGAAGTACGGATGACTTCTCCCCAGGAGACCTCGCATAATATTGAACGACTATGTGCCTATAAATAATTTTTCAAATATTTATTTAATATTTTCGACAAACAATCTTCAACATGAAATTGCGTTTTAGCTCATACATACTTCACTAGCTTTCATAAGTTGCACTGAAGCTAGGTTCCAAGCATCCTCATAATCTTTTCCTAATTTAATGTATTTCTGAATTGTATCGTAAGCTGCTTTTACTTTGCTGTAAAAAAATAGCAATTTTAGTAGTCAACAATTTAGTAGTAGTCAGTCAGCAGAAAAGAATATAACAAATATATTAAAACACAAGTCCGTTTCGAGCTTATTATATTTACCCGGCTGCTACATGCTGAAATCCTTTCACTATGCCCTCTGGCGTATTTTGCCATCTTACATTATCGTTTTTCAACCAATCCGACAAGTAAGAGACGCTTGGTGCCAATACTTTGCCTTGTAAAGCAGCAAGCCATGCCTTGACTAAATATCTGAAATTGAATAGTGTTGTTGCTGCAATGGCGGTGTAAAACCTTAATTCAACGAGGGCTCTTCATATTTTGCGAGGCTTCAATTAAATAAAAACTTTAAGACCTTTTGAACAGTAGCGAAACTACAGAGTGGCAAATCGGCAAGTCAGAAGAGACTCCTTACTCCTGACATTTATTATTATGCATTAGTATCGTATAAAAAATTGAATATCCGATAAATTTGCCAGGTGCCTCAAACGGCATAGTTAAACCACTGCTTTTGAAGTAGATTTATTTAATTAAAAGAATTAAGTAGCTAGTGATTTATTGGCACAATCATTAACCATGTTTTAATATGTAATACAAACACGTCATTTTTTGACACTAAAATAGAAAACAACGCTGCTCAAGTCATTAAGTTAACCCCTTTGAACATCAAACTCAATGACAATACACAAAATACCGTTAGTATAATTAGTAGAATAGAACGTTTCTACTGGTCAACCGACCGTAGGGCCACAGTTCAATCAAACGTATTCTAGTTGATATTATAAGATACTATCTAAGCAGTGGATCACGTTAAGCGTCATTAACTTTATAATTATTTTCGTGTTTGCTTTTACCTGGCAGTCTGCAGCAGCAACACCGTCTGCTCCCCCTCGTAGGTGACAGTCGCGATGGTGAACCCATACACAAGCGGCAGGTTAGATGACGTCATGTAGCCGTGCCCGCCGCAAGCTAGGCGACACTCCTCCACTACTGAACCCGCATCCCTTGAGCATACAGCTTTGAGACAGCACGCTGTTGCATGGAGCTGCAACCCAAATTACGGGATCATTAATCAATATATTCTTCACAGCTAAGTCGCTAAGCTGATTTAGTCATTGAACACTTCCGTTAGCAGTTATAATCTGGTTTTCTACCGATCACACGAAAAGACTGCTCTGTTGATATTTAACTTTACTTTGTATATATCATAAAGGATAGTTCATGTATAAGTTACTATATTTACCGCAAATACTGTGTTTAGCTTTTGCAAAGGCTTAATAGTTCTATTCAACTCTATCTTAACCTATGCTTTGCCAAATGTTACCAAACCACCTAAAGTCCGATTCGAGATTAAATATTTATAATCGTAGAACATGCGAAATAATTCTTCAATCGTACCTCCGGTAGATGGTCTTGTTTGCCTTGGGCCAAATCCTTCATGACATTCAGGTAAGACTTACTCAACCAAGAGTAAACATTTCGGAATACGTGACTGCTGGCTATGGCTATGAACAGCTTGTGCTGTTGCGTCACATAATCCAGGATTTGAACTTCTGGTTCCCTAGAAATAGTTATAGTAGGGCCATAAATAAATAACACCTAGAGTTATCTCTTCTTTTTTATCATTAATTTTCTTATGAACATCTACTTATTTATTTATTTATTGATATAACCTAAAGAGGACTTTAGGTAATGATATAACCTAAAGAAGACTTTAGGTTATAGCCCCGATTTATATACTAAAAAGTGGTAAAAATCTTAAACTATTCCTAATATAGGACACAGCTTTTAATTTAAAGCAGTCTTAATTTATTATTTTAACATCATAAAAAAATTTAGAGTCCTGCAGGACGATTCTGTAAAAATCCAAACCGGAATTCGAATTAATAACACAAAAGTAAAGTACATTAAGGTCATACACAAACTTCATTTACTAACACGTACGTATATAATAGGTAAATAGATTTTTGTAAAACATATCTAATGCTCATAATGCAAGACAGTCTTTGATGAAAATCTGACAACACATGAAGTCGAAAATTGAATCAGTTAACTCACTTAGCTTTGATCTTCGACTGGTGCCTCACGGCAGAGTATCTGACAGCTATTGTGGCGGCCAATGACGTGTTTAAGGAACAGTCGCCGACGATACCGACGCGTACCATCACCATAGTGCCATATGTTAACTTTTCGTTCATACCTTTCACGAATGTTCCATCCTAAAAGCAAGTATTTGTATCAAAACACAATGACATTTACCAATAAAATCATTCACCAATATAAACAAAGTCTTACTTAACGGAAAAATAATAAAAACAGAGTCATCATACCTTTAGTACTTGAGCATTCTTCATGAGCATATTCATTCTAGGTATTCTGAAGTTTTCAAACCCTAAGAAGCCATTATTTGCCGTCTGGAAACCCATTTTTGGCCCAATCTCACCGACTTTAACTCCGGGTAGAGGTTTGTGTGTGTTAAGGTCCCTAATTTGGACTATAAAGGGTTGTATTCCATAAGATTTTCCATTTATGAACAATTGGGCCACTACAATACAATGGTTGACTGTGCTTCCTACTAAAAATAACAATAAACAACTGAGTTCAAGTTTTTTTACCAAAGATATCTAAGTCTGGACCTGAATCATAAACTTGTACCTTTCAATTATTTCATAGCAATTCTTTTAGGTTGAATGAATATTTTTTTTATTTACGGAGTATACTTACATCCGCCAGGCCACCACTTGAAGGACGATAGAGTTGCATTATTCAAAATAAATTCTTCAGTTTTTGGATCGTAAGTGGCTCTTGTTTCTAGCCCTCGGATAAAAGAGCCATGACCAAGCTCAGTCTGAAATATAATAAAGAAAACATGCGGTTTTAAATGTGGCGTTTGTTAAGCAGATCACCGACAAAGGTATCATCACCTTCTCTTACATAACCCTGGGGTACAAATCTTCAGTGTGCATTACCAGTAGCATTGAAAGAACAAGCCGTATCCAATCGGATTAGGTGCAGAAAGCAACGATTACGTGCTTTCTGATGCATGAAAAGTTCAAAATCTTAATCTATCTTCGATCACGCCTCAAAAAGTAGTCATAGTGTCTTCATTTGTAAAATGGCAGACTAACAACACGAACCACTATGCGTGCGATCAAGTGTGTATATCTAGCATTATAATCTAGCATTATATTCTAAGAAAGCGAAGTAACTTTGAAATATTAATTATTAAAATTCTTATTTGTGTCCCGTGTTTCATGTAAAACAATGAATATGAATTTTATATACTTATTTATATACCTTACAACGTTACCGATATCATACCTGGGCATAGGTTCCAATAATCTGCATGTTCTCAGCTTTAGGCAGCCATTCGGCTTGCTGCTCGGGGGTTCCCTGTCCGATGATAGTAGCAACGAACATTCCATCATGAAGTAAGAATGGAGAAACATCCTTGAAAACACCATGGCCGACACGAAATCGATTTGGCCTAAAAGAAATTTCAAGTGAAATCCTTTCACTCAACATTACCTTATATATAATTACATGTTATAAAACAAATGCCTCTCGTTGTGTGTGTATGCCTGAACTTAATAATCATCCCAACAAAATTTCATGTAAATAATATTTACTTATTTAATCTTTATTCCTGTAAAATAGCAAAAGGCGGCAATTTATTCCGTCTAGAGTGTTACAAGATTTTAAACCTTAAAACATTCAATATACGACTCAGTTTAGTTTCGCGTTTTATCGCAGCTATTACCTATTTAACATTATCTTAGATTAATAGTATTAATCAGTTGAAACAAAGTAAGGCGAAAAGAGTAAAAATAAGAAAGAATGTTATGTAATTAGAAATAACATTAAAGAAATACCTAAAGTGTGATGTGAGGAAAGAAATTAAAAACCAAAACTCATTCATTCTGTGTAAGAAAATATTTTTGAAATAACTTGTTTAACAACAATATGTAATTACAGCTATCAGCTACCCCCGCCTCTTGAGATCATCAGAAAACCTGCGGTTGGAAATGCCAATGCATTCCACTAAGTACTATGATAAATCTTTTACCGTCCATGCTGTACGACTATGGAATGCGCTACCTTTGTCGATTAGAAAAGCTAATTCTCTTAATATATTTAGGAAACTTGTCAGAGAGCACTACCTGTCCATGAAAGTATGTATATAGGTATTATATATGTATTGTATTTTATATGATAATAGATATTATATTATAGTATATGTAAGTCTATTATAAAATTAAAATATAATAAGTAAATAACAATTGTCAATTATGCATATTTACAAATTGTTTATATGTACACCATCCACTACCCCATCACTAGGTCTTTTATATTTAACTCCATCCCAAGGTTGCCAGGAAGAGATCACTTTTAGTGATAAGGCCGCCAATTGTACGTCTCCTGTTTTCGTCATATAAATGTATTTTGTCTTTGTGTGTACAATAAAGAATATTCTATCTATCTATCAATATTTGATAATTTATTAATCATAAATGTTTCTCTCGGCTCGGCTGGCGAGTAATGGCGCTAGCATAACAACCGATTCCCGCCATACTCAATCTTTGTGTTTATTTCATTCTCTTTACCTCACCTCAAATGAGGGGTACCTCGCGAATATCTCATGAGGTAAAACGAGGTCATCACTCGTCCTCAATAAAAATGTGCGATAGTGATGTGCCCCTCACTCGCGAGGTGCCTCGTTTGAGGTCCTCATTTCGACAAAATGAGGGAGTACTTGTTTTTCAATTTTGAACAACCTCATTTAGTTCCTCGCTTTTTGAGGCTTCAATCACGAGGCGCGAGCACAGATATTAACCATCACGCAACAGAATAGCGAGTTATTTAGAATGAAAAGGCGACTCGATACTTACTCAAGATTGAGGGAAAGGGTTAAGTTTAACGATTCAGGTTTGTTTATGTGTTTCTTCGCAAACACCTATTTATTTTTTATAGATAAATTATATTAATTAGTCTAAGTAAAAACCAAAGTTAATAAAAATATATCGGTTTTATGTAGATATATATTTATATTCCGCTGTTCCTTTTTTAAAATTGATAAATTAATGATTATTATTCGATTCGAAATATAAATTATTGATAGATTAAAAAAAAAGAACATTTGCCACTATTAAAAATCAGTTGCGTTTTGTGATCATTCTGTTTAATAATAATCTAATAAAGTTTATTTCTTAGAATCTAAAGACAAAATATGTTTTGTTTAGCATTACCGACTCCCTCCATCATTTCGTACCAAACGGCAACGTTGCGCGCACCTCGCTACGTACTCACTGCTACTTTAACATTACCTATCCTCACCTCAAATGAGAGGTAACTCGCGAGCCCCTCACGAGGGAAAATGAGGTCCTCACTCATCCTCTTTAAAAAAGAGTGAGTTACACAACGCTAATGTGCGAGCTACACAACCCTAATTGTATAGTGTCACTCGGAATGATGGGACAATTCTAAAAATACCCTTAAACACTGTCCCAACAATGTTCATGGAATCGAAAGAAAATACATACATACAGCGCCAATTAGCGTAATTTGATTATAGACTATATATTAACAAAAACAAGTGAAACCATACCACGATGTACCAATAATGTAGCGCTATCTAGTAGCCAAAATAATAACTTAACAACCCTATTCATTTATATCCGTAAGTCTTTCAAAAGGAGAATGCCAAAATACGGCTTGTCGCCGACAAGCAATACATTATCATCGCAATTTATATTTTATAAAACTTTAAATTATCAACTATGAATAGATTTAAAAAAAGCACACCGTTACGAGTAATTTTAGTAAAGTTAATCAACGACTATTGCGTGAAAAGTACGCCATTTACAAAAAATTGCCAGTAAAAAGTTAAAATAACTAATCCGTCGAAAATTGATAATCGTTATGAATTAATCAATAGTTGTGAAAGTGAATAAAAGTACAATAAATACGCCATGTTATAATATTTTTCTCTTTGGTACTGCATAAAAATATTTTTCCTTATTATTTTACATTACTATAATTAGTAAAGATATAATAATCATAGTATAACATATGATTTATTATATATTAACAATCGATATTAATCGATTGAAAACAATTTAACATCTGTTAATGGCAACACTTTTTTTAATTGTCATAGTCATTAATAAACATTACATTTGCGGTACAATTCGTTCACTTTGTTGTTCAGTGCTTTCTGTTGTTTTCGTTATTATTCTATCTATTTACCCGGTTTCGAACTTGAATCTGAATCTTCTTAATTATTGACCCGGCTTTTAACTATGACCAGAATCTGTTTGACATGTTGAATCGGCTTTTAACTTGGACTGAACCTGTTATTCTTGTTGACTCGGCTTATTCGTAGTTAGGCGTAAGTATTTCGATGCATGTACGACTAAAATGCTGTGGGTATTTACATATCAACATAGATCACTGAAAACGTTAATATTAACCCTTACATTTTACCTACAGATACCAAGCAACAGTGTGGTGTGTCATGAGTGTTGGTTGTTACTATAAATGAAGTGCCTGAAATAAGTCAATCACGTATTGGTAATGAAAATGTATGTATACATTGTGGAAGATCTTTAATATTGTATAAGAACTCGTATGTTAACAATACTGACAAAAGATCTGTTGTTGCGAAAAGGATTATGCCACAACAAGTAAGTAGAAACAACATTCATTTAATTATAATAAATAAGTTATAGTAATAATAATAAGTCAATTATTTGACAATTATAATGTTCCATTATATTATGTTTATGCTTTGTATGGAATGCAAAACATCTAAACAAACCGAGCATGTAATTAACTATAGATAGTATTTAAAAACTAATAGGATGGTGTCTGTACTTTAAAAATATTTATATAAAATCAAACCCAAATGATGACCTCTGTGGCAGAGTGGTGTCTACACAGAACTTAAGGTTGCGGCACCTCAAGAGGTTCTGGGTTCGAATGGTTGGGGCGTTTATTTGTGTGATGAACACAAATATTGTACCTGAATCGTGGTTGTATCATCCATTATTCTGTGTGATTTTAGTTGTCATAGTATGAGATTTCTTAGTTTTGCACTAAATAATTGTTGTGAGCTGTCACAAATATTATGTATTTCGATTTTGATTGGGTTTTTACCTGGGTCGAAATTAAAATCTAAACTATTTTTTATCTAGAATAAATGCTATAAACATTGAAGGAAATGATTATGTAAAAATATTTCTAATGATTTTATTTCTTTTCAGCTCCGACCATCAGACAGAATTTGTCACCCTTGTTGGCAAAAGTGTAATAGTTTATTTGTAAATTATACTGCACCATCTTCACTATCTGCAAGTTCTACATCTTCTCAAGAATTGGCAATTCATGAGCTGGAGCACTCTAATGATGATAACATTATATCAGTCTCGAATTCCAGGGAAAATACTTGCAAGTGTACCTACAATAATTTTGGTGGGGCGTAGAACTGTATGTTGCTGTGCTCACATAATGATGATCATTTGGTATTTAGGATGGGCTAGATATCAGTCAAATATGGAAGCCAGCACAGTTTTTAGATAATTTTTTACAACTAAAAATGATACAACTGATAATTAAAAATATTTATCTTTACATGTTTTTTAATTTACAGATCCTTTTTATGACTTAAAAAGTTTCGTCCTTTACCTTAAATCCATAAATGTATATAAATAGGCTGTTTTAATGAAAAACAATGTAGAAAATTGTTGAAAAAAAATATAAACTTTTTTGAATATAACTTTTTTTGGTGAGCTTTTATTAAAGATATAATATGCATATAATTTTCTATATTTTTTCCCCTTTCTTATAATATAACACTCTTGTCTGTCGGTTCTGGCCGAAGTTTCTATGGAAGCTTGGCATTGTCCTTTATGATGGAATAAGGTGTACATACATACATGTATTAACCCTATACACAAAACACTCCTTCCAATAGGACAGTCGTCTAAATAATATATTTTTTTAATACATACTTGTAATTGTATTTCTTCATATATTCTCTACACACGTCCCGTAGGATGGTAGCTTTCCTGACAGCGTTCTCGTAGCGATCCTTGTGGCTGAGATACTCCTCTGGTACAGCATCTTGCAACTCCTTCACACTAAATATTGTTTCCTCTATAAAGTAAAATCATATATAATTTAAAATATATATAGTACCTACCTACAAGGAACACAGGAAGCGAAATGTATAAAAGTTAATCAAAATATAACCTACCCGTAACGGTTAATTGGCTTGTTAATGCCAATTCATTAATTCATTCATTGTTTTTGATTTCGCAAAATAATTACATGATCTTGTGTCGAGTTGATTTCGATAAAATATTTCTTTTTTTTTTTGTAAAATTAAAAAGCTACAATAAGGAGCAATAGTAGCATAGTGATATTACAATATATTTACATAACTTTGTATTTACATAATTTTTATATCAGATAATACTTTATCAATGTGGATTGCGGTATCAGTTTATTACCTACTAAGTTTAAAAACACGTTTTGATAATAAATTTAGTCAGGTACTAAACTACTAAATCTCTATATAGTAGGAGTCCGTTTAAATATCTGGTAACACAGTTAAACCGGCTGCGTTCAACAAAAGCAAACTCAAATGATTGGGGACGATTGGCCGGCCTTGGTCAACGTTTTTACGCAATAATTATAGCGAGACACATATATGTTTGGATCTAATTTGGTAAACAATCTGTATTCGTATCTATTTCTCATGTGATTCACGTCGGTTAACTCAGGAATATGAATTTCCGTCAAAAATCTTGTCTATCAATCCGTGATGTTACACAGTCCTTTATATTTAACACTCGTTTTCCTTATGCATTTACATGACTAACTTAAACGTTATTTTACTCACCAAAATGCCTCTTCTCCTTCGTCGCATTTTCTCCACCATCAATAAGATGTATGAGTTCATTAACATCAAAACTGCACTTAGCTCTTTCACGAACCAAATCAGGATTACATTTTACGTTGGCCATTGTCTATATCAGTCTATATACAGTGCAGTTGTCAAACTAGTCTTGTGCAATAGGCACCTACGTGATGTTGGAATGAATGCTAAATTCCGTTTATATTCCTAGTTATTATAATTGTGATAGATAAATGATAAACAATGTTTATAATGGACTCTGCAGTTGATATAGAGCGATAGTAAGTGTAGTTTGGACTTTAATAGTGCCATAATAAAAAGGCACCTATCATACGAAAATGTCTTATCACAATGACGCAGCATTTACTTGACGCGTACGGTCACGCACCTCGTTTGTGGAGAGGCGGGAAAAATGAAATTAATATTGTATTTTAAATGGAAACAGTACTTGATCCTAGTATTAATAAAAGGGTTTTTGTACTTTAGTAAAGTATAAAAATACTCAAGTGTACATTTTTGTTTCTTTATGTCAAATCTGATTTTGTAGCTGTAATTTATAGTATAAATACATAAATTATTATTATACTCTTTATTGCACTTAAAATTTTACATAAAACAAGTAAATAAATTTGTTACAAAGGTGGGCTTATCACTAGAAGAGATCTCTTCCAGCCAACCTAGGAGTCGTGGGAGAGTAAGATGTAAGTGGGTGATAGAAGTGCAGTTAAATTATATTACGGTTGGAAAAAAAATATATATATATAATAAATAACAAAAATAGATATATATAATACATAAAATATACCCTACATATATAAGGTACGATGAAAGCAATGTCATGAATACGAACATTGTTCCAGAAAGTAGTCTTTAAGTATTAATTTGAAACACATGATGGAAGGGCAATCCTGAATATTCAAGGGAAGTCTGTTCCATAGTTGAACACCACGAACAGAAAAGGATTTGAGGCGGAAATTTGAATTGCTCGACAGAGATGTCTTTGCTTATTTGTATTTTACATAATTAAATTTTGCTTCTTTAACTTTCCACCAGCGGCTTCGTCCGTGTGGTTTATTTAATTGTGTAGTGTTAGTGGTGTAGTTCCGGAGCCTATTCGTGGCAAACAAACAAACACTCTTTCCTGTTTATGATATTAGTATTGTAATCTAATCTGAATGGCAAAACTTAGATAAGTAAATTTAGATAAATAGTTATAACATTATAGTTACGTTCTAAAAATATTGGACGTACAAGTATACATGTACACCAAAACTGATTAAAAAATATTCTGCGATTTTCCTAGAGCTTTTTATAAAAAAAAACAACATAAGTAACTTTATGGATATATCCATAATCTAACTATCTTGTTTGTCAGAATAATATCTCTATATATCAATATAATTTGCTAATTTATCTGGAATCTAAATTACTAAAAGGTTATCTCCGATATCATAAGTCTGAGTTCAAATAATCGGAATATTTTCGTCTTATTAGGTTACTAGATGAACCTAAAGTCAAATGATTATTACTCAAGTTTCTTCCCTTCTCTAAACATCCAATTGAAAAATTGATATGAGATTACCCGTGGTAATATTATAAACTGTCTAACAAAAAAAAAAAGAAATAAAAAATGTGATGATACGATTCCATAAAAAAAGGTATGGGGCCACCTCGGGCTCGCTTAAATAGAAAAATTCGTTGAACATACATAAAAATAATAAATATTTAGCACCGTCGAACATAGAACCTCATTTTCAATTTTGCAGTCGGTTAAAAATTACGAAAGCATATTATTAAAGTCGTCTTAGTGCAAGTCTATTCTTGCTTGAATGTGCCTTTAAATGCCTTTTAAATAATTATATTTAAATATATTATTTAAAATATCATTAGTTAGCTGCATTTATTAAAAAAGCTGTGAACAGCGATAAACCTAATATAATGTAAAGATTTTTTCGGCCCACAAAGTATCCGTCTAAATTTTTTATAAAATATGAAAAAAGAGTAAAGAAAGGTATACGGAAATATAATATATAATTAAGGAAACTATGTTTGTTTATAATAAATTTATTCTACATTTCAGTATTCAAACTATTAGAACGAATTTAATACTTTTAATTTCTGACCATATCACAATATCTTAAGAAGATGTTTAAGATAAAAGATTTTTTTTTTAATTTCACACGATATACCTTGTCTCTTAATTTAATAATGTACTAGACCTCATTTGTCACAAACCATCTAGTCTTTTAACACTTGTGTTATGGATTTCGACCGTGTTTTCAGACATTTTTATAACAATTTGTATAGGTACATTAATTGTCATAGGATCTTTTTAAAATAAGCGAGATATACATAAATATTTCTTTAACAAGAACACTGGATTGGACATCAACAATTATATAAAAAAAGTATTATAAATTGTAAGAAATAGGACTTAAACTAATAACATTTACCTTTCCTAATATTACAAAACCATTTATTCTTAAATGTCACCCGTAAAAAAATAAATAAGGATCTTTTCTTGTAATAAATTGTCTATTTGAAAAGCTACTAAGGAATTATCACAGTTTAGATTTCTGCATGAAAGGCTTCAGGTACTTATGGAAGCTCTGGTTGACTGGCTCTTTGTTGAGTGGACTCTTGAGGGCTTCCTCCATCAGTCGCTCGTACACGCGACCGTCGTAAGAACCCAAGGTTGACTGTAGAATCTAATGAGAGAGAGACAGAGAGCAAATGATCAATATATTGTGAAACAAAGGAAAATTATTACTTATTTTGATTAATTTTAAATTCACAATGCTATATTGATAAAAGTTCTGAAAGACGATGCTTAAAAAGTTCGCCGGTTCCAGGTATGCATCTCTGATATCGGGGCATTTCTCTTTAAGGATAATCATACTTATAATATTAGATGAATCTTGCTTCATTACTGACTTTTTTGTCGATTAAATTAACAAAATTAATCTATTATTGGAATTAACCAGGTCATTGTCTCATACCTGACTTCAGAACAGTTTTTACAACTTTTTTGCTAATACTTGAAAAGATCTAGACTTTCCAGCCGGTACAATACGAGTTTTTTTACATATTTAATCTAAAACCTATAGTAAATACGACTAATATAACATTACCTCATCCCTTAAATCAAAAGCGTCTACTAAAGCAACTGCATTCGGTCTGATAAGAGCCAGCAATTCTCCGTATCGTCTTCGCAGAACAGCTAAATCTTCTTTGGAAACGCATGAATACTATAATAAAAAAAAATCACGGCTATAGTGTGTTAAAATAGAATGCACTTTTAAATTATCCAACGATACGTCATAGACTACTCTATGAATACTAGATGGCATAGGTCACCTCTATCTTATCTTGATTTTTGTCTTCGTCATGTCACGCCAATGCATCTTGTCATTTATATTTTAATAATAAACCACATTTTCAAAGTCATGTCTTTAAATAAAGAAAAGCCTGGCCACCATCATAAAACAAGAAGAAGAAACTTATGGCTGTTAACAGTAGCAAACGACGTCACGTAAACTCATGTTACACATGTTATGTTAATTACTAATTAATACTGATATTATAATGTAATAGACGAGAAAAAAATTAGTAGACATGATAAAAAGGCTCTTAAATCCACGCTTTGCGATCCTTAAAATGAATCATCGACTTTATATTTTCAACCCATAAAGTCTTCCCAAGACTTTACAATTGTATTTACATAAAGATGAATGTTCATAAATTAATTAAATATACGATCATTTCCACATACTCACTTCGAACAAATCACCGCTCTTCTCAAGCGTCCAATAGATCAGATACAATTCAGCTAGTTGTTGAAGAACAGCAGCCACATTCCGGGACATCGTCACAGAATGTCGTTGTACCTCGCTCCAGAACATCTCGCAAATTATCGCACGACAATATGCCTGAAATTCATACGATAGTTCTACCACAGATACACATAAACTCTACTGAGAAGTTTGAAAGAAAATGAATTAATTGTAAAATATAAATTATTTAATTCTTCATGCACTAAAACTGCACATTGGCGGATTTAATGCCTTACTGGGAAAAACTTAGAATTCTGTGGGAAAACCGTTGGTGGTAGGGTGCACAATATGTAATAAATGTATAATAAATGTCTATAACAACTGCATACATATATATCGATATGCATGTGTACAAAAACTACCGAGTCGACGAAAATGTTTCTTCCAAAAGATAGCCACGCATCTTCTTAAAAGTGAAATTACCGGTGACATTATGATTTCTAAACGGAGTTTATTCTATAGAAGGATAGCTCTGACAAAGAACGTAGAATGAATGATGTCTGATGGACTGTTTTGGATGTTTCTACTTCGTTTAACAGAAATAGAATAGTTTTCATATTTTACCGAAACATAAATTAAAATTTTCTTTTCATTTCTATTTATAGGATCGTATTGTACTTATCCTAATAATTAGTTTTATTGAGATATGTAAATGATTTAACTTTAGTGAGTTTTAGGTTGAATATTTTTAATGCATAAGAAATACTGTAAAAATTGTTGACAAACCAAAATAAAAATTAGACTATTGCAAAACACACATTCAATTATATTTTTTAGTAACACAGTTAAGATATTAACGGATACCTTTATTATCAATTTGAATTTACAAATGATTTTGCTGATTTTGCTGATCTTGATGAATGAATGAATGATTTTGCAAATGAATAATCAAAGTTACCTCGCTAGCGTTAACTAACTGCACTGACGCCAAATTCCACGCATCTTCATAATCCTTCCCATTGTTTTCATACGAAATAACTGCGTCATATGCTTCCTTTGATTTCCTAATAAGTGTATTAACTTTTTTATTTAATTTCATTACATGTTCTCATAAAATTTTATACACAGTAACAAATTTTCATCTTTATCGAAAGTTTAAATATTTGTTTAAATATTTCTTCCGGCTGTTTGGGTGGATTGCCTGAACATTGATGATAATACGCTCTGCAGTAGCGGAAAAGTAATAAGTGCTTTAAAAATTCATCAGTCCTGTTAGGTTCTGGATGCCTCCGTGTATCAGGGTACCTCAGTACCCCGATTAAGAAAGGTCTTTGGTTCGAGTCCCATCTCAGAGTGCCAGGGATAAAGTGGATTTTTCAAGAATTTTTCATTAAGAATCTACTTAAACAGATTGACAACCTTCATTTTGATGGCTGTTTGTTGTGTATAAGCAAATTCGTTTATTCATTAGTTAATTAGTTTCATTTAGTATTCGTTATTCGTTATATAGTATTGCTTCAACTTCAACAAGTCGGCTTGTAACAATAAAATGAAAGTAGGTTTATTCCCTTGTCGAAGCTCTATTCAATATTTTAATGCCAAACAGCAAATCTGAATCACTTGACATTTACTTAAGATTTTATGATTTAATGGACTTGGGACATCAATATATTTAAACATGATATAATCTAGTCGGAAATCATCATATAATTGCCTATCATATATAATTAAACACAAATTCAACTTTAAAATAGTTATGACAACAACTTACCCTGCTGCGACCGCTTTGAATCCGCTTATTATACCTTCTGGTGTATTTTTCCACAACGGCTTTGTCTTCTGGTAGTTCACCATGAAAGCCACAGTTGGTGTCATCACTTTTCCTTCTAAAGCCGATTTCCAAGCCTTTAACAGATACCTGAAGTAACATTTTAGATCATATACCATAAATAACATTTCTAGTTTCTGTTATCTATGTTCAATTTAATGCAATCAATGGTATTTTACAGATTTCCATGACCTGTCTTGGAATTAGCATTTGCCATTCAACCGTACAACAACAATTAAAATCGAGATATCATCACAATCCGAAGGTTATTTTGCTTTAGACATGACAGACTCTTTAAATTATCGGAAATTGCAGTATTCATGTAAAATATTATTTTTTATTTTCTCGAATAAAGATACGCAATCCTTACGGCTTTACCCAAAAAATACTATTATATATATATATATAAAAAACACTGGAATTTACTAATTACCTACTTAATATGCAAACACGAGCTTATATCTTCATTATTTAAACAATGGCAAAAAGCTATCGCTAAATTAAAGGAATCCTATTATTCTTGCACGATCATTGTTAATCACTGACGCTTTAACTAAGATAGACAGTATGTCCTATTATTCACCTAGCAGTTTGAAGAAGTAGCACCGTGAACTCCCCCTCATAGGTGACAGTGGCAGTGATGGATCCATAGATAGTGGGGAAGTTGGAGGACGCCATATACCCGTGCCCTCCGCACGCCAGTCTACATTGTTCAACTATAGCACTGGCGTCACGACTGCTTATGGCCTTCAAGCAACATGCTAGCGCATGTAACTGGAACATGTTTTTTTTAATTAGGTTACATTACAGTAAAACAAGCTTCATTAATTTACAAAAATAATCTCATAATTCCTAACCTTTTTAAAAGCAGTAGGTCAAAAAAATCTAGCCCCCAAATTACACCTTAGATGCCGCGAGATTTATATCAAAGTTTTTGATAGCAATCAAGCAGAATCTAGGGTGCAATTTAGCAGTAGGTCAAAGAAATCGAGCCACCAAATTTAAACAATACCTCAGTAGTACAAGACTATTCCCAAAAGTCTTATCAGTTCGATCTTTGCTACAGTGACTATAATAAAAGTTTGATATATTTTACGGACCTCCGGCAGCTGATCGAGCTTTCCCGCATCCAGATCGTGAGTAACTTTGGAATATGTTTCCCAGAGCCAGCTGCCGGTGATGCGTAGCGCGTGGCTCGTCGCTATACCAATAAACAGCTTGTGCTGCTGCGTCACATAGTCCAGAATCTGAGGTTCAGGCTGACTGAAAAATTAGATCTTATTGTATAATGCTTTATTTTCTTTTCATAATAATTTTTAACTTATATATATTGTACGTGTCAGATTTGCCTTCGTAGATGTCCATGAAGCCTGTAAAAATCTCAAAGGGTTTTCTTTTATGTCTATCCATGGGGAAAGTCTATATTCCAACACTGGAGACATTATTAATATTATTATTACTATTAATGATAGTTAAATAGGTATTTACAATCAGGTCTATAAATGAACGTTACCCAGGCTTAGGCTGCGACTGATGCCTGACAGCGGAATAGCGCGTGGCGATGGTGACTGCTCTGGATATCTCATACGCTGCGTCACTGACGATCATCACACGAATCAGCATCATCGTGCCATACGTTAACTTCGTACTCTTCGATTTAACATACGTTCCATCCTAAATTAAAGACATTCCTTTATTTGACAATATGCTATATAAGTCTGACCTTATTTACTCATTTACAAAATTTTAAGATCAAATTCATCGGGTTCTGCTGATCTTGAAACTTGAAGCGAAAAGCGAATTTTTCTATTAGGCATATTCGTCTCCCCGTAGACCTTATTTATGCCCTTGGGCTAGATTGAGATACTGAGTGAATCCATTGTAAATAAAAAAAGGATGTTAAGAACGTGCTTGAAGCGTCAATTCACACATATCTGATATAAAGATGAAGATACATAATAAATTACACAGTCTAACCTTCAGAACTTGAGCGTTTTTCATGAACATATTCTGCCTCGGTATCCTGAAGTGGTCAAAGCCGAGGAATCCGTTATTTGCCGTCTGAAAACCTAGTTTGGGACCGATTTCTCCAACTTTAATACCCGGCTTCGGCATGTGGGTCTCGCTGTCCCTGATCTGCACGAGAAACGGATGGATGCCATGACACACGCCCTTGCTGTATAGCTGAGCCACCACGATGCAGTGATTAGCTGTGTGTCCTACTGCAATACGATTAAATAATTAATAAGTAAAGTCTTAATCGCTAGTTTAAACCTTTTTATCGTTTGATAGTATCTCAGTAAAACGCTTGTTATTTTGTCATTTCAGACTTTCTTTCTTTCCAGAAATTATTATTTTCCTACCACTCACCACTTCCACACACACCACTAAAGAAGCTGAGGTGATGAGCTTTCGGGGTTCTGCCTTTCTGTATTTTCCGCGGGCGATACGAACTTTTAAAAAAGGGTTGCATACCGCCACAACTTCTTTTCCTTTAAGAAAAATTAAAGAAAAGGAAAAGATTTCGATCTTCACTTATACCAGCCATGAGTTATGATAGGTATGCTTAATTTCCACCATAAATTCGACATTTTTATCAACAAGTGACCTGCAAAAGACTTTCTCGTGAAGATCTTAGCTTAGACGGATTCAAATCTTGATGACGTTCAGAGCTCAGTAAGTACCTACTTTGAAATATTTATCAGTTTTATCGTTGGTTTTCTAATGCCAGTTAAGCTTTTATCATTTATATTTTTCTGCATTACAAATTTGCCTCCCGTGAAGTCGTAATGTATATCTCCTTAATTTTAGTATTAAAACTAATCACATACGTTTGAGTAAATAGAATACTTACATCCTCCCGGCCACCATTTATAGGACGTCAACGTGGGACTGTGCAACACAAACTCTTCAGTGGTCGGGTCATACGTCGCGGTAGTCTCCAAACCTCGAAGAAATGTCCCATGACCGAGTTCAGTCTGTAAGAATAGTCGGTATATCATTCTACATCCTTAACATTGTATTATTTTCATAAACCTGCAACTCTAGTCGTCTACCTCAAGGATATACCAATAAGTCAAGTAGCTCGGTGGCGTAGTGGATAAGCGCCGCGGCCCACGATCGTAGTCGTTAAGCAACTTTCGCAAGGGTCGGTCACGGGATGGGTGACCAAAAAAAATATTATCTCGAGATACTCCGTGCTTCGGAAGGCACGTTAAGCCGTTGGTCCCGGCTGCATTTGCAGTATTTAATACCCTCCAATCCGCATTGGGCCAGCGTGGAGGATCATGGCCCATGCTCCTTAACCATCCATAAGGAAGGCCTGAGCCCCTGCAGTGGGGACGTAAAAGGGCGTGTGATGATGGTGGTGATGATATCAAGGAAGAAAATGCCAAAGGGTAATTACGGGGAGGCGTCTCTTGCCAAAGGGTAGGCGTCTCTCGGCTGAAATGATGATGATGAGATGATGATAGTATTTTTAGTTTAATTTGCATTACTAAGAAGATGCAATGCATAGTATGAAGACCAGTATATTAGTTTACTAAATCATCAAGAGATATTGCATCTACATATGCTTGAACCATTGTTGTCAACGTTATCAAAGATTTTGTTAGTTACAACAGATGTTTTTTATAACTAAACTTTAATATGCTACTACCCTCTTTTAATTTTTCTTCTCGCCTTGACACAATCAGCACGGAGGGTTCAAATGTTGAGGCCACATTAAGTACACCTAATAATTACCTGAGCGTAAGTACCGATGATCTGCAATGAGAGCGCTTTGGGCAACCACTCCGCTTGCTGGTCGGCAGAAGCCTGTCCGAATATAGTAGGTACAAACATCCCCATGTGCAGAATGAACGGTGACACCTGCTTTACCATCGACTGCACCCGATACATGTTTGTTGGTCTAATGAGCAAAGTGTTCTCTTATAAGGAAAGTTCCTAAAAAATCAATCGTCTAAAGTATAAAATTTTAAGCACTAGAAATGGAGATGGAGAGAGAAATAGCACTTGGGTATAGAGTCCTGTGTCCAGTTTCTAAGGGAGTAGGGTTTATTAATTTATTCTTTATTCCCGAAAAAGATGTTAAAGCTTGAATGTTTGGCGATAAGAATAATACACTGGCAAAAATACATATAATAACTAAATATAAAAATAATATCTTGGTTGGCAATCTCGTCAATAAGTTTACGTAGTAAGGGTAGATTATTTATGCACTACAGTTTTGTTCCACAGCTCCATAAAGTTACTGTGCCTGTACGTACTTGTACGCATCGAAGCTGCTGTGCCTGAGGGCGTGCTCCTTCAGTATATCAATGAGGACGCACGCCTTCCTCACGGCGTTCTCATACTGTTCTTTGTGACTCAAATATTCTTCTGGAACCTCATCTTGTATCTCCTTCACGTGTATAACCATTTCCTCTGAAAGATACAAAAAAAAATCTAAATGAAAAACAGGCTATTGCTATTCTGACTCCCGCACGAAGGGAAAACGTTTATTGTATGGTAGCCTGCTTTAATATTTATTTTATTCGGCTTTTTTGCAGTGGCCTAACTTTATCGTTTGAGGCCTGTGGCAAAATTATCGGATATTCAATTTTTTTTCATCACCAGCCCTTTTACGTCCCCACTGCAGGGGCTCAGGCCTTCCTTATGGATGGTTAAGAAGGATGGGCCATGACCCTCCACGCTGGCCCAATGCGGATTGGAGGGTATTAACGACTGCAAATGCAGCCGGGACCAACAGCTAAACGTGCCTTCCGAAGCACGGAGTAGCTCAAGATAATAATTCTTTGGTCACCCATCCCGTAACCGACCCTTGCGAAAGTTGCTTAACAACTACGATCGCGGGCCGCGGCGCTTATCCACTTCGCCACCGAGCTTTTTATTAATTGCATAATAATAATAAATGTCAGGAGTAAGTAATCTCCTCTGACCGGGGGCCCCTTCCAGCGGGGGACCCGTGGCATTTTGCCGATTTGTCACCCTGTAGTTACGCCACTGCTTTGTTGTTATAATGGCAACAGAAATACATCAACTGTCAAACTATCACGGTCCATAAGATACAGCCTTATTCCCACAGTTTATGACAGACGGACAGCGGAGTCTTAGTTAGGGGGTCCCGTTTTGTACCCTTTGAAAACGGACCTTAAAATATGAATGGAACCACAGTTAATAATCTGTTTTGATTTATTATTAGCCCACAATCATTATCATCGCACGCATGACTAAGTCACAACGCTTGCTCGTACAATAATTATAATTAATCAATTATGAAACCCCTTTTAAATATAATTTGTGTAAATTTCATATTATTATTTATTTCACCTTCCAGGTCAACTTGCGCAATGAAGAAAAAAAATTTCAATGATTGACATATTTTTATCAACTTGGTTTTTTTTTTTTCATTTTTCATTATGAATATTTAATTATCTGTATAATATATATGTTACGGCTAAAGGCGGGTGTAAACACAAACTTAAGATTAGCCGGTTAAACTTAGATTTATCTTCGAGAAGCAGCAAAAGTTCGATATCATGTTAATTTGCGTCGTGATATTCCATCTTTAGCCGGTTATTGTGCACATTAACCTAAACAAAACGGCTAAAAATGTATTCGATGGACGCGTACCGGCGGAGGGCTTGAGTGAGCCTTGTTTTAAGTAATTAACACTGAAGAAGTTTTATTTCGTAATTTTAAATACCTACAGAAGTATCTGTAATGAACAAATGGTTCCTTATTATTTTATTTTAATGATTAGGTAGATATTGTTTTAAGTAATCAATATTTTGTTATTGTAATTTTGAATACCTAAAAAACCCGACAGCGTAAAAACGAATTTATGTATAAAAGTATATATATCGTCATCCGATCCTTGTATTGGCCAGATCGTGGTATGCTCAGGCACGTCGTGATACGCCGGCACTTCATGATCTGGCCATTCTACACCGGCCATATCGTTCGATGATCATCGTTTGACGATTTGCCCAGCTATACTAGGGAATATCATTTGTGTAGCATTATAAACTAAATATGTTTCCTTCAACAAAAGCGATTCGTTTCTGGCACTTCGCCGGCCGCTACCGCGGCACGCTTGCTTCTCTCGCTCGGCTCGTGCGTTGTTTATCATACACTAACATAACCTAACCCATATGTTATACAATAAACCTATACAAATATAATACAAACGATCTTTCAAATAAAGCTTACGAAAATTCTTGTAAATATAGGACACGTTCTTATAAATTCTAACAGTTGTAACGGCGCGAAATGCAACTGCTTCATGATCCGCCCAGTGTTGAGCTGGGAATATCGACAAAAATGTTATCCTCGTCGATCTCCCCAACTTTAGATTGGGCACATCTAGATATGGCCGGCCAAATCATGAAGTGTCGGCGTATCTCGATGTGCTCAGGTATATCACGATCAGGCCAATACAACGATCGGCGACGACATATATAATGAGAGTAATTGTTTTTTCATAAAAGTTTTCGTGTCAAAATAGTAAACATTATTACATTGTTTCCTTTTCCTTCTCCATTTTTAGCCAAGGGCCTGCAGTTACACTTAAGTTTAGCCGGTTAACCAAAGTTTATGTTCACACCCACCTTTAGCCGTAACATATATATAAAATGGAACGCACAGCTCAGGCAAAAAAAAAACAATTTTGTTAAAAAAATCAACCACTAAATAGAGGTTCGAAAAACATAAACACCAAGCGGGGAGAAAGCCACTGTTACTTAATTATACATTACGCATTTTAAAATACAACTTTAAATAGTATCTACATCTCTAAAAATAATTTAAAGAAAAACAAAAAACCCGACTGCGTAAAAACGAATTTTAAAAAATACTTATAATTTAAGTTAACTTTTTCATGTATTTTTTAAAATATACTTTTATACTTTTTAGTTACGATTCGTTGACTTCGTTATAAGATGGTAAATTTCACAATCTAGTCATTTCATTGAGGGAGTTAACTGATGATGAATGAATGAATGAAAATATAATCCCTCTAGAGACCTAACTTGGCTGAAAGCTACATATGCTTTATATTTTTACCAAAAATATTTGTTCTTCAAGCTTTTTCACTGTTTTTTTTTTTTGTTTCTATGTCGTTTATACTTTAAATAAAAACTTTAATCGTTTTGTTATATAACTTTAAATCGTTATATATCCTAAACTATATTTAAAATGAAAAATGATAAAAATAACCTAAGGAATTTAAAATACCTATTCAACAACACCTCACTTTACATAGTTCACCGATTATTTTTTTTCATTTTGACAATATGGCGTCTGGTTGTCGCTGTGGTGAATTTCGATTACTGTCATGTCTTTAGTGACACTCGCAAGGTTAAGACGAATCGATTAGCGTATGAATTATCAAAATCGGCTTACGCATTTGGTCTCTAGAACGCTAAAAAGAAACAAACATACATACATACATACGTAAATAGACTGATAAACACATTACCCTCCTTTGCGTCGCACAGTTGGGTAAAAATATAATAAGATCTATAAAATATATGCTTCTCTATCGTTCAAAAATTGTTTTATCGGAATCTTTCCATTAGCCAGAAATGAAAGAAAATCCCAACCGATAGGAAAGCGAGGTTCCCTATAAGTAAATATTATAATCCCTTGCTTAATAATAATGATATCTTTACGTAAATTATGAAAAGATATCTTGCAAATAAAAATAATAAATCTGACTTATCTTTTGTGTCTTATAAGCAGTCTGAATAATAATTATTATACTGAGTATTATTTGTAAATAATCATGATCTAAACTTGATAAGCAAAAACTATTTGTTAGGTATTGGAGATATGTAATTAGAAGGATTTAAAAATGATATAAATAGCGTTCTAATTGACTGCTTTACTTGGCATTTACATACCTACTGGATAATTAATGTGATTACCCCATAATCTTTACTCTAAAAGACAACATATACGTGAGTACAGCGCTAGTAAATATTATTATTTAGATTAGTAATTTTCGCAAATGTTTTTTCTTATGCGTACAAATGAGTGTATTACCGTATAGCCAAAAAAAAATATATGGACTTTATCATATTATTTTTTGTTTCTTGTTCCATTAAAAATATTTTTTAAGTATATTCGTCATATCTAAAAAGCAAATCAAAAATAATAAAAATGTTTAGCATTTAACTGAAATTTTTCAAAATTCTGTAAGAAGTACATTTAATATGCGACTAGGACAACATTTTAGGATAAATTAAATATGGCATAATATCTATTTTCGAAGTAAATAATAAGCTGAGTTATTTTCTTAAACAGTCCGCGATTAGTTTATCAGTGTGTTGATCGGTGCCACGGTCTACTTCAGATTTGCAAGTGACGTATCAACGGCCATTAAGTGCATCATAATTACATAGATAGCGTATCCATCATATATAATAAATCTTACATAGATGACAGCTTTTAGGGTACCCAAAGAGTAAAATAGGAACACAATTACTAAGACTTTGCTGTCCATCTGAAAATAAAGGAGCTCATGGGCGCAGTGTTTATAGTTTTTTTTTGGCTGCACGTCAGGTTACCACAATAAGTCAAATTCCCTTATTGATTTTGAAATCTATCTTCATTGCATTTAGTGTTAAAATCAACTGAGGAAATTTTTGTATAGCCTGAAGTGCTCATGACTATACCATCAAGAAGTCCGCGCTGTACCACATTGCACACAAATCCTTGCAGAAACGTTTTTACCGAGTGAGGAAAGAGATGCCAATTTCTAGGGATTTTTATTTCCCGTTTCGACATTCAAAGCTGGCTACGAAATCCAGCTATATGAAAATGGTTTTTCAGATTTTTATCGGTTAATTACCGGGTATTTCAAAATTTAAACTTAATATTCTTTATGCAAAAAGAGGCTCGATTGAGAGTTTTACAATACTATAAAATTAAATTTAATGTAGGCTCAAAGTATGTTTAGTAATTTATGTATTATTTATTGCGACATGAATATTTTATAACATGTACCTACGTGATATCTTTTTATTGATTTTTAATACATTACTAAATTTGTTTCTTTACATAAATTTAATTAATAATATTTTCAGTAAATATTAAATAACCATTATTTGATATATCTATAATATTATACCTGTTTTACCTCTCGGGACTACTTTCCTAGGACCTACATATTCATTTTTACATTTAGTCATGGATTATTGGTCCATGATTTAGATTTAATGCTTGGTCGATGACCCCTAATCTAATAAAGTCACTTCTCTATGACACAGAATAAAGTTATATTAATGAGTTTATCATAATTAAAAGTACTTTCATTAAGTTTTATTCCGTATCTATAAAAGATTATTATATATAATTAACTATAAAAGACAACAAAACTGTGGGTAATTTTTTTACTGTCTATGGGTAAGGCAATTGGCTGTCTTCGTTTCTATTCCCCTTAATTCTTAATTCTTGGTGACGGTTTTTTTGTATGTTCAAATTCCTAACGGCGCGCACCTAATTTTGAAGGCTTGATGAATTCCTTCATGTTATTAAGAATTAGGACATTTGGGAAGAACGGTGGATCAGAGCCTATGGACTACCGTGTATGATATCTTCGCTAGCAACCGCGTTGACACACCCCTTTCCAGAACCTAGCCCTCGGAACCCATGACGGTGAAGAGTCGCTTGCGGTAAGTCAAACCCCTGCTTAATATTGTACAAGTTTTTAAATAAACTTAATAAAAGTAAAGTAAAAAATATGTTAGACGAATTAAAAAGTACCTTTGAATCGTGCAAAATATTTTACATACCACTCATTCAGGACGTCTTTTGGCTGATAAATAAATATAAATATTTATTTAAGATTAGCAGAGATTGCCTTATGTCATTAAGTTCGCCGTTTCTACATTTTTAAATGCGTAACAAAACAAGAATCTTAACTGCGGGAATTTCACTTCTTGAATACCAGAGCAATGTCATTGCAATTAAATTAAAAACGCCATGGTGGTCCCGAGTGATGTAGTATAACACTCACCTACTTCTCTTCTGTTACGAGTAGCTTCCTCTCCGCCATCAATGAAATGTGTCAACTCTTTAAGGTCAAAATTACATTTCTCTCTCTCCCGGAGCAGGTCTCCGTTCACTTTGGCTTCCGACATGTTTCCGTGCTGCTATTCGCGATACTGTTTGTCTCGACCACTGTAACGTAATGGAGAGTCATTATCAAAACTTAATTAGCAATCTAATCGCCCCACAAAACAGTTTTAACGTCACTAAAACCAGCAAAATTAGTAATGGCAAAGTTCGAATGTGTCTCGTATCGCTATAATCCGGACTTTATACCCTTTTTTTTACATGCAATGTGATATATGTGTAATTAAATTGTATCCTTATTAATAATATTAGCTAGATTCAAGGTCTCTCAGCGCAGATTTATAAGTTGCAAATTATACACACGAAAAATATTAGCCGATATACATAGTTATCTGGCCCAATTAATAGTAATGAATATCTGAAAGCTCAAAGTTCGTAGCTTTGAGCTGTTTCGTTATCTAAACAAAATTAATTGGAACGTCTCTTAATTATTTTCTAGGTTAGTATTTCTTAATTTATACTTATTAAATTCTTAAGTTTTCTGTATAACTAGTTCAAATTTTACCAACTAGAAGCTACAGTCCTTAGACGTAGCGAAGCGGTTAGGGATTTTGGGGTAATTTTTGATGACAAACTTACATTCAGGGCCCATTATGATTGCTTATCTACCAGTGCAATGCGAACATTAGGTTTCATCTATAGAATTAATAAAGACTTTTATAAGGCAAAAAGCTTAATTCTATTATACTATTCCCTAGTCAGAAGTAAAATCGAATACTGCTCGACGATTTGGAGTCCTTTCTACAATAATCGCTCTATGGCAATTGAGAGAATCCAAAGGAAATTCACAAAACTATTGAGTATAAAGTTCGGTACCAGCTGTAGTTTGATGTCATATGAGGACAGATTGAGTAAATGCAATATTACATCTCTTAACACACGTCGTTATCAACATGATTTAATAATAACACTTCATAAATTAGTTCATTCCGTAATTGACTCAGAATATCTTCTTTCATCTCTTAACATTAATTTCAAATATAATTAAAGGCGCAGGCATCCAACTTTTGTCATACCGACATATAGAAATAATATATCTTATCATAATCCCATCGCTCGTATGTGTAGAAATGATAATAAAATCCTCCCAGTTAATCAGGCATTAGACATATTTAATGCACATCTCTTTAAATTCAAAAAATGTATTAAAGAAGTTGTGGTAGACCTAAATGTCGCATCTTTTTAATCATCTAGATCGATTTATACTAATTATTTCTGTTTTTTTTTTCATATTAGTAAAAAAAAAAAAGTTTTTTTTTTCTTTATCATATCTCATTGTGTAAACACCTTTAGGATATTAATTTAGTACTACACAGTTGTTACTTATTATTCATATATATTTTGATTAATGTCTGTTGTGTTACCTAATAAATAAATAAATTGTAGGCCCACTTGTTTCAAAGATAAAGATGATAAAAACTGGTGATGAAAAACCAATATACGGCATAACCAATGACCACATTTTGATTTGGTGCCACGACCACGGCCACATCAGATTTGCAAATGACGCATCACGGCCATTAAGTGCTTCGTGATAACGAATAATGCTCCCAGCATTTCCCATCCTTCCTGTTTCATATCCACAGGTAAAGCTTGCTCCCCAACAAAAATAAAATTAATGCAATGACCATGTTTACAGAAAACAATAGATCGATCGTGATGATATCCGATTAATATTTTTGTCAATATCAATTTGTCTTATCTTAATATTTGTATGATTGTTTAAGTTCCAAAGTTTGATTTGGAATTTGTATTTATAACCAATTTATTACCTACCTACTTTTTAATTATCTTCAAAACAAAACTTAGACACCACACATATAATTTAAATATCGTCTAATGACAAATTTACCTATCTTATAATGAAAGTTTTAAATTTTTCATTTGTACTAAACCAACACTGAAACTTCATTTAACCTAGAAATTAATTTTACACAATCTTTTATAAAATAAATAATTTATATAAATATAAGACAGCAGGCGTGTGTGCGCCACTGTTACCAAATCTAACATGTGACTTGACCTCGTCGTATTCGTTAAAATTTTAATACGGTCCTATTATTGTGTTTAAATGACTGAATTATATTACATGTGACCGTGATATTAAAATAGGGAATGGCGTGTTGATTTAACAGATATTTCAAGGAACTGAGGTAGATAATTATGTCATCGGGATTTTTTAATTTCTTCCTAGCTAGATGAACTAAGCATCTATACTTATATTATTGGATATTATCGGTAATTCTTGGCAAAAGTTCATTGGTCAAATCGGTAACACGTTTTTCTTAATTAAAGCATCTGTAAAACTAGATAATGCGAAGTGTACACTGGCGAGTGATTTCTGCAGTTTCTTAGAGAAATCAAATAACGACTGTTTCCACTCCACTGGGAGCAATTTTTGTACCACACGTGGGTCTTGCAGCAAGTAGGTACATCGAGTCACCAAAACGTGCACAAATCCACTTGCGCAAGCGTTTACACTTCAGCAAATTCTGTTCCAAGTGCATTTTACATTAGGTATATATTTTAATTGGATATGAAAAGAGAATCGATTATGTTATGTACATTAACATATATTTTTATTTTCCGAGTAAACTCTACGTTTTATTATGCCAATGAAAAGTATATATAGAAAAATTATATATGACAAAACACTATAAAAAAGGCTGGTTAATAATGATTGCTATTAGTGATGCACTAATTTGTAAATATCCATGTATTAGTTTATGTTGTGTTGTACTTACAATAAAGAGATTATTGTTAAATAAAAACACACCTTAATAGCTTACAATACAATGGGTCATAGAATATTTATGTTTATAAACATGTAACCACAATACACAACTATATTCCGACAGTTTTAACGGTAAATAACGTATGAACTATACAAGGCAAGTGTAGCAAGTAAGGAAACTTGCGTAAACATCGCTTACGCACGCGCACTGCGGAAATTGTGAGATTTTCACGATCCGCACCGATTCACGTTAAATGCGAGGATGGAGGTGTTATAACCAGTGATAGAAATAGCAGTGGCGGACTAAGGGGGGGAGGGGGGTGTAAAATCATAATATAATAAAGTTGAAAATATAGGCGCGTGATATATAGGGTGTTGTAAACACAATTATCAAGTTTGCCTCGGATGGAAAAAGTTACTATTGCACCAAGGAGGCCTGGCCTACGATGAGGTTAGTCCGCCACTGGTACAGACACAAAAAACGGATAGTTCCTTAGGAATAGGTTCAATTATTTATTTATATCGGTGCAATAAAGATGATTAAAGATCTCTACTGCACGTAAATTAAAGATCTCTACTGCTAAATAAGTAGCTCGGTGGCGTAGTAGATAAGCGCCGCGGCCCGCGATCGTTGTCGTTAAGCAACTTTCGCAAGGGTCGGTCACGGGATGGGTGACCAAAAAATTATTATCTCGAGCAACTTCGTGCTTCAGAAGGCACGTTAAGCCGTTGATTCCGGCTGCATTTGCAGTCATTAATACCCTCCAATTGGGCCAGAGTGGAGGGTCATGGCCCATCCTCCTTAACCATCCATAAGGAAGGCCTGAGCCCCTGCAGTGGGGACGTAAAAGGGCTGGTGATGATGATGAAATTATTATTAAAGATCTCTACTGCATTTCATAATTATTAAAAATGATAATGAATCATGAAACTGTAACGATGCTGTCCATCTTTCTTTGGCGAATGTTTGACCGCAGTCCGCCGAAATGTATAGTCTCAAACGTAGAATAACATTGGTATATCGTACGCAGACATCTCTCATTGCATACATGTAGCGTGCATGTTTTTCATGCTCTTTGTGCATAGATGTTCAAGCAGTACATATCATTTTTGAAAAATATTTGAAAAGCCCCGTCGTGACATCTGAAGTTAGCCAAGGGGCTAATTTTCTGAACTATTTGACACGTGACAGCGAGTGATAGGTATTTTAAACATGTTTAATGAACGGTTTCGTTAATTAACCGTTAATTAAGATCGTGTAAAAGCTAGCATTAGACGTAAACATCTTTAAGTAGGTTTCTATTATGTATTTTGATCATTAAAATCAACGTTAATTCCAAAAGCGATTGTAACTTTAAAAATTATATATGTAATTCTATAATTGCTATCACTTTAGCTATGCCTTGAAAAGTATTGCGATAAAATAAAAATAAATCAAAATCAAAGTCATTTATTCAGTCTAGGCTGTTACAAGCACTTGTGTAAGTCGAGAGCTACGCCATCGGTTCGTAAATCTACGGCGGGAGACCTTGTACCGAGAAGAACCGGCAAGAAACTCGGCAAGGGCTGCTTTTTTCTCCCTGTTTTATTTCATACAGAGCGTCAAAATTGAAAAATGACTTCATTAAAATTTGAAGTCACTTTCCATTATAATATTACAATCCAATCACATTTGTAGCCAAAGAAGCTCACCGATTAACAATTTAATATATATGAAAAATAAGCCATATTTAACTCCAAGCAGTTTTGTCGTTTAAATATTCATTAACAGTATAATATCCTTTACTGAGTAGACAATTCTTGATATGGGTTTTAAACTTAGGTAATGGTAAATTTAAAATTTCCATAGGAATTTTGTTATAGTAGTGTACACCTTGACCCATAAATGACGATAGAACCTTCTTTAGCCTGCATGACGGCAAAGATAGATATTGAAATAAGATAAATTACCCTGTTTTAATGAGACTAACTTACATTTCAATTTTATACCTATTAGTAAATCGATACGAGCTCAATGGCGCAGTGTGAGGTAGAACGTTCGGTCTGCGATACAAAAGTTAAACAACTTTAGCAAAGGCCGGTTATAGGATGGGCGATCAATAATTTAATCAATCTCAGGCGCAATCTCCACGAGAGAGAATCGCGACGATATTATCGTCGTGCCACTTATTTCTATATACTCTCTATGAATGAGTCTCCACAATATTGTATATTCGCCATTAGAGACGCAACCGCCGCGAGCGCGCTGCGGGTGCACTGTCAAACGCAGCGTCATTGAGCTTTTTAAACAACATCCATAATAGAGAATTATTTTATTTTCTGCGACACAACTTATTTTGCTCTCGTCTGGCATCTAATTGAACTCAACAAATAAAAGAACAACGCATCGTCAAGGAAATGTGGCGGTTCCGACGACTCGTTGTTGACACGCTACGATTCCGTCACAAGTCGTGACGACACGTTGGCGGAATAATGGCTCTTTCGTAGACATGACCCGAAGTTGGAAGCGCGAACTCGTTGCGTCGCGATTCTCTCGCTCGAGCTCTCCCGTGCTTCGGTAGGCACGATAAGCCGTTGGTATAGGCTGTATAGGACATTATATAATACATAGACGTCCTGAACAAGTGGTAGGGGAAAAAAAAATTTTTGGACGATTCAAAAGTGCTTGTAATAGCCTACTTGAATAAATATATTCATTTCATTTCATTAACAATCACCAATCCACACTGAGCCCGCGCCGTGCTCAGTGTGGTTCTGCATTCAGTGTTGCCAGATACCTTGAACCTATAATCTGTAGTAGGAATTGCTAAAATCTGTATGAAACCTGTGTACTTTTTTAATTTTATAATCTGCAAAGTCTGTATGGTGAAAGAAATCAAAACACATTTTCTGATCATACACTAAAGTCTCATAATCGAAAATTAAATAAAAGTAAACACATTAAAAATATGTAAACGTTTTATTTTATTACTTATGTACATATAGATTAAAACTCATAAAATTGCAACAAACGAATGAGTCCGTTCGTTGATTACAGATCATTCTTCCCAGCACTTCCGATTGAAAGATCTATGTAATAAAATGTTCTTCACTTTTATTACTATGTCTCAACTACGCCATATAGAAATAATCCGTTTTAGATGTCATAATATTAAAAAAAAAAACACAATATATATTCTTAATTAAAAATGGTTTAAAAATCCATCATTCGCAGGTACTCTGAGATAAGACTCGAACCTACCTTTCGCAATCCAAGCGACTGCTCTAATTACTGAGCTACCCAGGAACTAACAGGACTGACGAATTTTTCAATCACATGTTAGGTTCTTTTCACTGCTATACTAGCGTATATTCATCAGTATTCAGGCAATTCGTCTCATCAGACGGAGCCGAAACGTGGACACTGACGGCACGGCTGGTCCACAAGTTGAAGGTTCGCTCGGCGGGCAATGGAAAAGGCTATGCTATAAACATTTAAATCCATAAATGGATTAATTATGGATCTAAATGTTTATTACTATCAAATATTGTATACTTTTACTAAGACCGTATAGGAGTGAGCACTGGAGCCTGAGATTCAGGTTTAGAATATAAACCTCATTCAGGCACAGAAGCTACTCAATTGTAACATTGAGTTTAAACCTATGTATAAAATTTTTTTTGGAAAATTAATATTATTATGCTGAAGTGGCAGTGGGCTGGCCATATTAGCCGCAGAACCGATAACCGTTGGGGTAAACGAGTTCTTGAGTGGAGACCGCGTCTCGGCAAACGTACTGTAGGACGTCCTCAGGCGCGGTGGAGCGATGATTTGCGCAAGATGGCTGGCAGGAGCTGGATGCGAACAGCCGAGGATCGAACTAGATGGCGTGCAATTGGGGAGGCCTATATCCAGCAGTGGACGAATACGGGCTGATGATGATGATGATGATGATGATGTCTCATCAGACAAAACTCTGTATCCAGTGCTAATCTTTATTACACACCGAAAATATGTATAAACATAGGGAAATATGTATATATGGCAATACTGTCTGCATTTGAGATATTAAATTCACGGGGAGAGTGCGCCCGCAGGAGAATGGGGACATTGGTAAACTTATTGAACGATTATAAACTGATACTTACTCCCTTGTTATACTTATTGTAGGGTTTTATGAAATTTACAACTAATTACTTCTCGAATTTATTTATGGATATCCATTAGGTAATAAAAAGTATTAAGAAAACTTGTTACTAAAGTGTTTATTTAAGTGTTGAAAACTAAATATATCATATTAATATTATAAATGTGAAAGTTTCTTTGTTTAGATGTTTGGATGTTTGTCGGTCAATCACGCCGAAACTACTAAACGGATTTTGATGAAATTTGGTATACAGATAGGGTATTAGCTGACTTCCGCGCGGTGTATAGCCTCCGGGCCGATCACGTGCATCGCCTTCCATGCGAGGGACATCGCTGAGTTTTAGTGGGTAAACTCCTGTTTCTTGTCTAGCCCCTTCGGGGGTGGGGCCTCAGGAGGAGTCCCACATAACCCGTGAAACCCGCGCTAGGTGTAGCGGGTAAGCGTAACGCATTTCTCAGTAACAAAAAAAAAAAAGTTTATTAGCTGACTTAGATAAAAGGATACTTTTTATCCTACTAAACATTTCCCTAGGGTCCACGCGGGCGAAGCCGCTGGCGAAAGCTAGTATAATTATAAATGTTAGTATAAAATAGATTAGTAAATTTACCGTATATTTTATATATAAATAAAACATATAAAAATAATTTGTAATGATTTACTACAAGTAAGTACTGATAAGATACAGGCACTTCTCGTACTTACGGCATATTAGGTTCTCGAAATACGCGACGTAAAGCAAAACCACGTAAATCGAGACATATTTTTTTCATATGTTTACATGTAAAACTCAAGGGTTAGGTTCCACACGGACTCAAAATAAACAAAAAACTACATTTATAACAAAGGATATAGATACTTTATTATCAAAATTAAACAATTATAAATATACTTATGAAATTGCTAGTTATTTTTGGTATTTCAATAACTTTAATAATCAAAATATCCAATGAGAAATAATAAATTAAACTTTTGGCTTAAAGAAACTATCAATTCTCGATTGCTTCGCTTCTTTCTTCTTACTATTATACAGGTCTTGGTAACACTGATAGGTTGCACAAATTTTGTTATGAAATTTTGTAAAACCCAACAAGTGAATTCTCGTACATACATAATGTCAAAACATTATGTAACAATTAACCGTCATTTTAACTATTTTATTTTTTTTAAGCTCGTCGTCAACAAAGTTCAGGTTTATATACTTATCTCATCCACATTAGGTATTCGGATACAAGGATTTAATTGTTAACGATCGTAACATCTCTATGCGGGACACGATCGGATCGGATAGTATAGGAAACGTTAACGGGAATTAAGACGTAATTTCACGGCACTTTCGAACGGTTTATGGTTTCTGGGTAATCAAACAGACTATAGATATCCGTTATTAAACTACTGAATTTGCAATTAATGTCACAGTTGGGGTTTCGCGTAAAATTAGTCCTTAAATATTATTCGATACTGAATCGTTGACAATAACTATACCATATTAACCTGTAGGGGAATTCTGCTATTGTTAGAATAAATAGGGAAACTCAATAGTTCTTCAACTACAACCCTTTACTAGATCACAAAATAATAAATATATCTCCATTGATTTGTGACGAAGACATTGCACTTATAATACTGGACTCAAGGTAGGTAGTACGATGACAAAATGTAAGAAGTTGAGATTCTTTTGAGATGACACGCCCTGAATTTTGAATTTTGGATCTCAAAGAGACCGCATACGAAGTCCACGTTTTTGTTATAATGCTCGAGAAACGATTTCTTTGCAAACGAGCGTTTTCGAAAATAGCGATTAATAATAATTATATTTTTTTTTAAATTTTACTATGCGATGGGACTCGATGGCACTTGGAATATTTTTCAAAATAGCATTGTGAATGCAAAATTCAACTACCTATCTTATGCAATGGCTTCAACTTTAATATCATTAAAGTCCATGACAGCTTAAAGAAATTCATTTAGTTAAGCGGAAGCGGTAGAAGATCATGGGAAGTTACTTAACTTAAAATTTCCAATCGGAAAATTCAAGGTCACTTGTATTAGAACCTGTTTGTTTACACTTGTGTTTTTGCAAACCCTCAAAATCAGCCATCTTACATCCCCACTGCCTTACTTATCGATATATCGATGGTTAAGAAGGATGGGCCATGACCCTCAACGCTGGCTTAATGCGGATTGGAGGGTATGAACAACTGCAAATGTAGCCGAGACCAATAGCTTACCGTGTCTTCCAAAGCACGGAGTAGCTCTTTAAACCACTGTTGATTCAACAAAAGAAAGCTAAGGTTATCTAGCGGCTCATCCCCGAACCTTTATTGAATCTGTTATGTTGGATAGATGCGTATGATCACAGAGTATTTGAATATTGTACTAAATCATACATAAATCACTAAAATTTTTGAGTTGTCTCAGTTTAGATCTAGGTGTGCGATATATGAACTATTTTAACTTATTTAATTCTTAAAAAAATCTTTTCGAAACTTGCAAAAGAAGGAATAATGTACTTAAATACATATGGCATTAAATTAGTTACATAAAACGTTACAACTTTTACTACAAGCTATAAACATAAACGCACAAATAACAAAGATATTACAAATATTGCCCAGACGCCCTATGTTTTTCGCTACCGTAGCACCGTGTGACGTCACTTAGTGCCTTGAATTTGTATGGAGTATTTTCGGCCAAGTAGCAGCAGTTCTACAAACACAGCACCAAATCTCCGAAATTATTAATGACGCAGACATGCTGTTACTTCTACATTACTTCTCAGATATTAATGGACTATTTATTTATAAAATTAAAAAAAGTTTTCAAATAGCCTATTTCCGCTAATATCACAGGTTTGCCCTCATGAACGGTTTGAGGTATTTGTGAAATGTGGGATTCACACTGTCTTTATTTAATGGACTCTTGAGGGCTTCCTCCATCAGACGCTCGTACACGCGACCGTCGTACGAGCCCAGAGTTGATTGCAGCATCTGATTGAAAAACATTTTAGATAAATTAACTTAGAATCTACGTCATCATAAACCTATGTCATAATTAAACTTCAATAATACATTGAATAAAAAGTATGACGTTTGCAAAATTATATTTATTTTTGAAAATTGTGACTTTGCGTGACATTGACACAAATTCTAATAAATCAAACATACTATATAAAAAAATAGAACCGACTTTAAACTTAAAAATAAGTATAATATAATATTCATTTCAAAAGTGACTTATTCAAGAAAATGCCATTAAAGTCAAGTTTTGATTTTAATAATTATTATTTTATTTTATGTAAGTTTTATTTATTTTTCATTGTACTTTATTTTTTGGAAATTATGTATTTGACTGTTTATTGGGTTTTTTATGCCTTTCAATAAATCATTATTATTATTATTATAAGTATTGTTTTTAACTTTTTTTTGTGTGTAATAAACACGCTTTTTAATGATATTAATATTTTTTATATTACATCATGTATCAAAGTCCGACAAATACTATGCTGAAAACCGAATCAAAATCAGGTCATAAATACAGGTCAATCTGAAAACCTCCATTTTTTAATTGGGTTAAAAGATGCTCAACTAATGACAAAGGCGTGCTCATGATAGACTCAAAGAAGCCGAACCTCGTCCCGTATGGCGAAGGCGTCGACGAGCGGCACCGCGTGGCGCCGCAGCGCGCGCAGCGCCCGCTCGTAGCGCGCCTGCAGCCGCCGCGCGTCGCCGCACGACATGCACGTGTACTGGGGAACATCGACATACTACGATTACAGAGGCTATAAAAATGTTTTTGAACAAACAAACTGAATTAGGAACGCTCTCTAAAGTGTGAATCTACTGTGTCTTAGTATAGTCTTACCTTCAGTAGCTCGGTGGCGTAAAGGATAAGCGCCGCGGCCCGCGATCATTGTTGTTAAGCAACTTTCGCAAGGGTCGGTCACGGGATGGATGACCAAAAACAAAAAATTATTATCTCGAGTTACTTCGCGCTTCGGAAGGCACGTTAAGCCGTTGGTCCCGGCTGCATTTGCAGGACGTTAATACCCTCCAATCTGTATTAGGCCAGCGTGGATGGTCATGGCCCATTCTCCTTGACCATCCATAAGGAAGGCCTGAGCACCTGCAGTGGAGTCGTAAAAGGGCTGATGATGATGATGGTAGTCTTACCTTCAACAAATCAGCCTGTTTCTCCAACGCCCAATATACAGCATACAGCTCTGATAGCTGCTGCAACACCTCTCGCAACGATGGAGAAGCTTCAACCATCCACTCGGAGATACCCTCGTGGAAATACGACACTAGTATCACTCTGCAGTGTGCCTGAGACCATAAAATAATGAATGAAAGGAGGTTCCTAAACAGTTGGTAACTTTTTTTAAATTAATCACCAAATAAGTGGAGTTAAACTTAATCAAACTACAGATTCGTTACCAAAAAGTTATATCAAATAGTTGAAAAATTGTACTTCAAACTTTATGCTCTACCTCATATAGGTATAATATCATTTAGCCTTTGTATTAAACAACAGATGACCGAATGTCGGGACAGACACAGACAGAAATCGAACCTAGAAAAGTTAATGACTGAGCTACCTATCGGCGTATTCGCGATATTCCTTATAAAATTTAGTAGCTACCATAGAGGAATAATATAGGTAGCTACTCGTCTCTTTTATCTATTTCTTCAAAATTCATAAGGATATGTTCAGCAGCGATGTATGTTTTTTTGTACGAGTATGTTCACCGATATTTTCGGTATTTGTTTATCAATTTTGAAAATTCTTTTTTTTATCCGACAGCTTAATAGACCGAGGTGACTGCATTTAAATTTTATCGAAATAGAATCAGTATTTTTCTTTTTATAACAAAACAAAACACGCTTTTCGCTAGATATCACCTAAATATTTAGATAATAAGAATTGTTTTTCTTGTATTTCAGCTAAAACCAAAAGATTGCGCTTTTGGGATTTATTCAAAATCCGAAAGGAAGATTTACTATGTTCAATAGGTATATATATGTTTTAAAATCGATTTCTTTTAGAATTGTGAACCAATTTCTATCAAACTAGCTGTTTCCCCGCGACTTCACCTGTGTAAATTATAGCCTATCTCCAACGCGTATTACATAGCTTCCCATAGATGAAAGACTTTTATAAAACAGTCCAATAGGTTCGGAGACTATCCAATGCAAAGTAACAAGCAATGAAATCTTTCCTCTTTATGTGTATAGAATTATAGGAAAATATTATGTCGAGCAAATAAACAAAATCTTCTTTCCTATTTGAAATGTTGAATATTTTTATCCAAATAAATGTTTGATATTTTTAGTGCTACCTATTAAATAAATATCTCAAAAAATAGAACAGACTTCAAACTTTAAAAAAGTAATAAATAATTCTTCTTTAAAAAGCGAGAATATTCAAGAAAATGCTAATGAAGTTGGGCGCCTATCATTTAATTAATAACATACAGAAGACCTCCCCAACTTTAATAGCATTTTATTGAATAAGTCACTCTTGAAACAAGTATTATTTAGGACTTTTTTAATATTTAAAGTTGGTTCTATTTTTATTATAATTAGTATATCAAACCTCTGCTGCCGCTTCAAGCTGAACAGTTGTCATATTCCACGCGTCTTCTAAGGACATACCAGACTCAACTCTTTTCTCCATCACATCAACACATTCAGCTATTTTCCTGTAGAGTCATCATAAAACACTTAAATATTTTTTTTATTTTTATTAAAAGACAACAAATACAGTATGACGTACATATGTCTTACCAATACAGACATGTTAGAAGCAAAGTAAAATAGTTGTCAAACAGACACAGCTGCAGTAATATACAACTTTTAAGACTCATCGATGGATTACTTTCGCAGCAGAAGGCTTATATTTCAAAGCGCGGCAAATGTTGTATTTTACGCCTTGTGGATATTAAACCTAGACTCACGATAAATTTTAACCGTATGTTCGGCTGCCACATGCATTGATAAGTCTACCGAAATAAAAATTCAACATGTGCCATTATTATTAGTGGGAGTTTAATGTACACACATTGGTTCAACTGTGACTCCCAATTCCTTACAAGTGATGAAATCTTTAATTAGTTGATATAAGGTTCGTACTTGACTGCGACCACTTGCAGGCCGCGTATTATTCCTTCCACGGTGTTCTCCCATCGATCCAAGTATCCAACAACCGATGCTGGCCTCATGTACTCCACGGTCGGTGTGAGGGGTCGACTGTCTAGCTGCTGCCACGTCTTTGCGAGGAATCTGCAATATCATCTTTTAGAATTATCAAAACATTTCAAACTATCATTCTATAGAGAGTAGGTATCACCCAAAATAAAATCGAATTATACCTGCGGTGCGAACGCCTAACTCTCTAGCCTTGGCATAAGACATGTCGTTTGGAGGATAAATTTGGAGTAAGTTACTAATTTGGTAACGCTGCTGCCAAATCCATAACATCGCCAGATCATGGCTAGAAAGTTAGGCGGTCGCACCCCTGACCTGACATTGCTTAAGAACAAAGACTATTAATAGGCCGCTGATGAAGATACAATAAGTTTCACCGCGGGCCTCGGTTGCTCTAGGATTGTTAACCTGCCGCGCGGTGCGTGGCCTTCGGGCCGATCCCGCGCATCGCCTTCCAAGCGAAGGACATCACTGAGTTTTAGTGAGTAGATTCCTGCTTCTTATCTAGCCCCTTCGGAGGTGGGGCCAGTATGCGTAACCCATTTCTCAGCGTCAAAAAAAAAAGGATTGTTAACCTGGCGGTCTGAAGCAGCATGACAGTGTTGTCGCCCTCGTATGTGCAGGCGGCGATGGCGAACGCCGCGAGCTGCGGCAGGTACGAGGAGTGCAGGTACCCGTGGCCGCCGCACGCGCGCCGCACGCGCTCCACGCCGCGCGCCGCGTCGCTACTGCACACCGCCTTCAGGCAGCACGCCAGCGCGTGCAACTGCAGCCAGGGGAAACGCGATCATCGGACGATTTTTAACGCATTAGTGAAATTTCGGTAGTGAAAAATAAGTCACGAAATTGCACATAAACTAAAATTACCATTGTAATAAACGTACACATTTTGATTTTGAGTCTTAAATTCACATGATTATTTTATTATTAAATCTCACGTGACTAGAACCACGACCCGCCATTGCGTGACGTCACTCTGGTAACAGCTATCAGATTAATCGTAAACAACGCCTATTTATTAGGTATATATACATCAAATTCCTAGATGGCGGGGTTGTAATCTACCGTTAGATGGCACTGTTCTTATTTTATTAACATTAATCTACTACTCTGTTTATCTGTTTTGTATACATATCCAAAAGACGTCAGCAATATGTCATACCTACAGCGTTTTCGCAGGTATAAAATAAATTAAAATTTTGATTTAATTTGATAGTAAGAATGCTTTTATTTTTCCGAAATATTAGTTTTAAAATAAACACTTACAAATACTATTTCAAACAGAGTAGAATATCCAATTAGGCCTATTGTTAATGGCCTAAGGGGCGAATTCAAACGCAATTTCAGGTTCATTGCTGCAAGTCTTTTAATTATCTGTTATGTTATTCCTAATTAACAAGTAATGGAAATCCCGTTGATATTAGACATCATGCTAATGGTAACTAAAGTAAAAACTGAAAATAGACGGCGTTATTTAAGTTAAACGCTTAGAAAAAGTATTGATTTTGGTGTAGACGCCATCTTAATTGCAATTTTATTTTAGTTTCTCGTCTACTACTAGCTGTTTTAGCGCAACTTCGTCCGCGTATTATGTAGCATCCCGTATGTGAAAGAATTTTAAAAATCAGTCCAATAGTTTCGAAGACAAACAATGCACGAATTGAGATCACCTATCAAACTATACCTACTTCCGCTAATCTGTTATAGTTCCCGCTGGCGACTTCTGCGTTGACCTCGTAGTATATCGACCACTGTCTATTCGACACAATTCTGAACGCGTACGTGGTCGCTATATTTATGAACAGTTTGTGCTGCTGCGTCGCATAATCCAATATTTGGATTTCCGATCCCCTTAAAACAATCATATTTAATAAAATGGCTGCCAAGTGCTAATTCACACAGAATAATTCTGTACAGATATTATATATCATAATATTTTAAAACAAATTTCTATAAACGAGAACTTTATTCAAACTTTTAAAATTGTTTAAATTTAAAAGTTTTAAAAAAGTGTCTCAAACATATTGCTTCCCTTGTACACGATAATGGCTGAAAATCGATGCTTCATTTGGATTAGGATTTTTTAGTGCCCTTTACTTAACTGCTGTAATCAGGTACATGATTGTGTTTCTTGTTCTTCTTGTTCTTTTATGTAAATGTTTGTAATTACGTGTGTATTGCGTTGTTGTTATATTTTAAAACATCACCATAAACTCTGCCTTTTGATATGACACAAATTAAAGTTTGCATAACTTTTTTTAATTTGCCTATATTATTTTCCACCTGCAAGTATTAACAGTGTAAAAACTATTATAATACCGACCCATCCTTAACAGGTGTCTGTCGGCGGACCGCGGAATAACGTGTGGCTATAGTGACGGCCTTGGACAAGTAGTTCACCATCTCACTCACTATTAGTACCCTCACGAACACCATGGCCGCATATAAAAGTTTCTGATTCGATGATTTCACGTATGTCCCATCCTAAAAAAATGCTATTTATTTATATTATATGTACCGTACCGGTACAAACATAATGATACTACATAATATCCCATTGTTCATATATTTTTTTTATAATTATCAGAAGATTTCGTTAGTAATAAGGGAAAGAAATTGAATAAATATTACGAAGCACGCTCGCTTCGCTCGCTTGGTTCTTCTATTGTAGTCACACGTAATTCGGAACTAAAACATATTATTTGTATTTTTTTATTTTCTCTGTCCTAACCGACGAAATTACTATTCTCTAGAAAATATTAAGGATTGTAAATAGAGGAGTAACACATAAGATGTTGAAATTCATCAAAGCTAACCGAAACAAATATATAAAACTAGTTTTTGCTTGCGACTTAAACCGAATAAAGGTACTTTAAATAACGAATTTGCAATGGAGCTTTCGATCCCTATTTCAACCCTTTATTGACGATAAAAAATATCGTTAAAACGTTAACTTTTCCATAGTTGACTTCATACCTGAACCACATTTCATTAAAATTGGAAGTAGTTTAGGTGTTACAGCGTCACAGACAGACAGATTATCGCATTTATAATATGAGTCTGAATACATCAAGGATTAACATTATCATAAAACCACAAACAACAATCTCAAACTCTTCCTAAAACTAGAGCGCATCTTTCCTTTACCCCTTTACATCCACTCTTAGACTTTATTGATCTCCAAACCAGTGCACATGTACACAAAGTTGCTATCTCGATTATCACGACATTCTCATACTTAAATCTACATAGTTAGTAACCAATAAATTATTATAATACTGTAATGTTATACCTAAATAGAGACATTAACAAATAGTCACAAAATAAACCTTACCTCCAAAACTTGTGCATGTTTCATCAGCATATTATTTCTTGGTATTCTTACATGTTCCAATCCCAAGAATCCATTGTTGACTGGTTGCAAACCCATTTTGGCACCGATATCCCCTAGTTTCACACCGGGCAACGGCTCATGTGTTTCTTCATCTCTGATCTGAACCATGAACCAGTGGATTCCATGACACTCTCCTTTAGTATAAAGTTGAGCGACCACAATCGAGTAGTTAGCGGTGTGGCCAACTGAAAAATCGACGATTAATAAGTATTACTTCTATTAAACAATAATAATAATTTATTTTGCTCGAAACATGGTTACATAGATATTAGTATAGGATACACTGGTCAGTATGTTTCGCTAAATATTCAGCATCTATGCTATTAAAGTAGCTCGGTGGCGTAGTGGATAAACGCCGCGGCTCGCGATTGTAGTCGTCAAGCAACTTTCGCAAGGGTCGGTCACGGGATGGGTGACCAAAAAAATATTATCTCGAGCTACTCCGTGCTTCGGAAGGCACGTTAAGCAGTTGGTCCCGGCTGCATTTGCAGTCGTTAATACCCTCCAATCCGCATTGGGCCAGCGTGGAGGGTCATGGCCCATCCTCCTTAACCATCCATAAGGAAGGCCTGAGCCCCTGCAGTGGGGACATACAAGGGCTGGTGGTGGTGGTGATGCTATTAAAAAAGAGATGACGACTAATTTTTGTTTGTTTGTCCGTCAGGTAGAGTGTTAAAAAAATATTAAACACGTATTTATTTCGTAATCATAAAATTACGGCGATATATGGAGTTCAAATTTCGCATGACGTCACGTTATGGTACGTTTCCTACAAAACTGTGACGTAGCGAGCCCCCACTCCTCAACTTTAATGCCTGTTATCTAAACTATTTCTCGTTATAAAAAAAATACGTATCTAATATTTTTCTATTATCTGACTGACGGACTAAATAGAATTGCATTCTTTTTACCCAGTCGTCATGTAATCAGTAGTCGGAGTAACCAAGATACGGGATCTGGGAGTGGTTATGAATTCAAAATTAAAGTACCTACACGACTCATATGAAGATCAGCACGAATGCTCAGATTTCTTAAACAAAATGCAAAAGATTTGAAGGTACAAACTAAAGTTTTCTTGTATAATTTGCTTGTATGCAGTCATTTGGAATATGCTTATTCTGTTTGGAATCCTTCTTATGTCTCCCATTTACCAGGGATCGAGAATGTTTAGCGTGCGTTTACGAGACAAATAGTTTGCTTCTCGGGGTATTTCCCACAGGTGCCCATAACAACAAAGATTTGAATTTTTCAATATACGTACTGCTAATAACATGTTCTTATTATGCAATTTATTAAACGGCCGCACTAGATGAATTACCCTGTTGGAGCATGTCTCGGTTTCTGTTTCGTTTCATATACCCCGCCATACAATTACAAAACTACTTCGAGATCCCACATCGCGAACTAATTTGTGTTCTAATGCTCCGATTTCACTAATGTGTTACCATTATAATCGTATTTGTAGTATATGTGAGGGAGTAGACATATTTCATAGAAAATAACAACATTTCCGAGATAAAATAAAAACATATTTGTAACAGTCAGCAGCTTCTATTGCATTTTTTTAACATAATTCTGCATGGTTTATTATAATTGATTTATATTTTGATTGTTACTTTAATTTCGATTTAATTCAATCGATTTTAATTATAATAACTTGATTTATATTAACCTATTTTATACTTATTTAATTAATTATCTGTGTTTAAAATTGCTTCAATACTAATATCATATCACCTATAAAGGTGTATGCATCAGATAATTTATTGACACTTTATTGGGAAATACGCAATAACCTATGCACTGTTGGTGTCCTATTAATAAATATATAAACATTTACTCACTTCCTCCAGGCCACCATTTGTAAGAGGTAATTGTTGGACTGTTTAGGATAAATTCTTTAGTGCTTTCATCGTATGTGGCTGTGGTCTCTAACCCACGAACGAATGTCCCATGACCCAGCTCAGTCTACAACAAGTTTCAGAATATATGAAACCGATTTCCAATAAATACTATATATATTTATTTTATTTTAGCATTTAATAAATTGTTTTAAATGTCTTAAAATATGCATTTGCATTCGCAACTGCAGATTTAAGACTTCATAATTCTGCATTCGCAACTATTAGATAGTTTATAAGAGCATTATTCTTAAAAATTTACATGGTTGTTGGTCTGTTTTTTAGAACTAGATTCGTCATTCCGTAAATCTACAGCAGAGATAGATAGCTTTCGGTATTCACATTTACAGAAAAGACTGGAAAAAATTCAAGAGAATAGACTTTTAGGTTATTATTGGAATCAAGCTGGCATTCTAAATTTTCTATAAAGATCTTACACTGTGATTAGTACCTGAGCATAACTGCCAATTATTCTGCAATCCCAGGCCCTGCTCAGCCAATATTCTTGTTGTTCTGGACTGGCTAACGACATAATAGCGGGCATAAACATCATGTAATGCAGCGCGAGCGCAGAACCGTCTCTGACGTTAGCAGATCCTAGTAGACAATCGAGCACATGCCTGCGAACGCAAAGGAAAATAAGCGTATCTAACATAAACGAATCAATAATGTTAATCCAAAAGTTTATTTTTGGGCTGTCTAATAGCACTTTTACAGTACTCATAGGTGTTTTAATCGCTCTACTTTTACGCTTTTGTCGCGTGTCTGCTACCCATAATAGGTATGTAGGTATATCAGGGTCTGGCATTAGAGGAAGCCAGCCGAGCAATTGTCCAGGGCGGCAAAAAAGGGTGTGGCATTCCAACTCCAATTTCCTCTTTAGAGAGATAAATCTTAGAAAATTTACTATGCATAGTAATAATGAAAGGTATTCCAATTTCATATCTTTATTTTTTCTGAAGCCTCAGTATTCTAAGATAATTTATAAGTTATAGTTATTAGTGTGTGGTCCGTAGCTCGGTGGCGTGGTGGACATGCGCCGCGACACGCGATCGTTGTCGTTAACTTTCGCAAGGGTCGGTCACGGGATGGGTGACCAAAAATTTATTATCTCGAGCTACTCCGTGCTTGGGAAGGCACGTTAAGCCGTTGGTCCCGGCTGCATTTGTAGTCGTAAATACCTGCCAATCCGCATTGGGCCAGCGTGGAGAATCATAGCCCATGCTCCTGTAACTTTTCTCGGTACATGTGATATTTTGGTGGTCTCCAGTTTGCCATGCTACACGTGCGGAGTGCGACCGCATAACCCTCCAGCCATTAGGATTCATTTCACATGAACGAATTATAAAGTATTATGATTATGGATTTAATAGCAGCATTACCAACTTAGTCGTTTATAAAGTTCGTTTATCCACTGAAAAGCCATGTCGAAGCCATAACATCGCTAAGATATCCTGAACTCTCGATAGCCGTTACCTATAAGTAGAGTAAAATAATGGCTATAAGAATTAGGCGATCACACTCCTGATCATCTCCCGGATTTCCCCTATGTTCGTGTAACTTACCAACCTGTAATCTGTTATTTTGATCTTTCCTTCGCGTTGCATTTGACGAATGTGTCCGAATATAATTACCGACTTTCTGATAGATTCTTCATACTTGCCCTTATGACACAATAAATCTTCATTAACGCCTTCTTCAAACTCTCTTTTACTAACCATTACCCTCTCTATAAATGACATAAGATACGAGTATATTAGAAAAATGTTTAAATGATAATCAACAGAGTAGTTGACTTGGCGTCATGCTAGAATAAAGACGGTTACATATAGGTCGCATTGCACGGCGCTACGGTTGGGTTACTAGTACTGCTGTCCAGAATGTCTCATCATATAGAATAATAACATTCCTAGGAGGCTAAGTTTCGACACCATGACCTCCGCTCCAAACAAATAAAAACACTTAACACTTGCATAAACTAAATATAATTAGTTTAAAATCGATCAAAGGAACACAAGTCAAAATATAAAATTGAAAATTTTCAATATATTTCATTCACCGACTTGGGCCACAACGGTAAACACAATTCATCGTTAAATCAAAGGTCATCATTAAATAGATATTACATATGTGTGAAGTTTTACTTTAAAATATGTGCATAGATAATACAAGTACCTAATTACTAATGATGTGCCAACTAATCGGCCGTACGACCAAGAGGCTTAGGGGGCCTCCCAATGGCGGCAAGTTCCGTCGATCAAATCATAATTTGAGGTTGAAGGCCCATTTAAGTACAGCAAGTAGTGGTATCTTATTTTTTTTAAATAGGTATTAAAGTCACATATATATTACGTCGAATGTTCATAAGTTTTAAGACTAAATAAATATTATTAACTTGTACTTCTAAAATTTTCAGTCATCATTTAATAGATAATAATAAACAATTAAATAAATCAAGATTAAGATGAAATAAAAGTAAAAACATCGTATAACTTGTTAAGTAGTCAAAGTCACTATTCAAAACATTATGATTTAAAACATTTTTGTAAAATAGAGCGTCCTCAAAAGTAAATTTAGTAAAACGTTGCCTTAAAAATAAGTCTCACGCAAAATACTTCAGAAAAATATTTAATTTATTTTTAATTCTGATATCTATTTATTTTATGATATTTCTATAAGATTCTATGATATCTATTTCTTAGATATCAGAGTCAACCTGATAAGCAATCGCATACAAAAAATAATACTAAACCATATAATATTCATTTAAGTGTATGTATCACGTCTTGCCTCTTTGTTTCCGCTCCATCATTTTAACTTCTCCACCATCAAACAGTTTTGTCAACTCAGTGATATCGAACGTACTTTGATCCCTTTCATTTTGAAGATCCTCATTCACTGTTGTCATTGTAACCCGTTTAACCACCACGATTGACCAAAAGCTAATAAACGACATGCGCTGGCGCATACACGTAGCCACCGGCCGAGGCACGATCAATGATTCCCGAGCGTGACCCGCCTCATCCCGCCAACCTCTATAATTACGTAAGTTAGCAGAGTACGTTCGGAAATCTAGAATTATCGAATACAGTTATTTTTTTTTTTTAACAAAGTTATACGTTTATAAATATAAAGTTACTTTAACCACAACCATGTAAAAGCGTTACGTAGGTAGTTTTTTTTAATTGATTTATTAGTATTAGTTGCGTTAGGCAACAGTATCCCAGATAGCATGCTAACTTCCCTCTTGACATTCATGTACCGATGTTAACGTTCTCAGATTATCTTTATAGTTTTTCCTTTTATATATATATTAAAACTAAGAATATTAATGTTGTACTGTTCATATTTAATATAAGTTTCAAGCCATGTTATGACTGTCTCTAATTGATAAGGCACTTATAACTATAAATTGTGAACTTAATTTAAGAGTTTGTAATAGTGTTGGTTATTATATATACAGCGTATTGTTTTTGTTTACGTATGTTTACTTAACACCCAGTTAGACAAATATATGAACTTGCACGATAATCAGTTTGGGTTCAGACCCAAATTATCTACTGAAAGTGCAATACTATGCCTGAAGCACACTGTCAGGTACTATACAAGACGAAAAACACCAGTTTATGCGTGCTTCCTCGACTTATCAAGGGCCTTCGATCTGGTATCATATGACATCTTGTGGAAAAAGCTCGAGAGCATTAACTTGCCATGTGAACTTTTGTCTATCTTCAAGTATTGGTATAAGCACCAGATCAATAATGTTAGATGGGCGGGTGCAGTGTCGGAGCCGTACAGGCTAGGCTGCGGGGTCAGGCAAGGTGGATTGACCTCACCCTCGCTGTTCAATTTGTATATGGATGCATTGATTGTCGCGCTCAGCAGCCAATATATAGGATGTCATGTGGATGGCGTGTGTGTCAACAACCTAAGTTACGCCGATGATATGGTCCTGCTGAGCGCTTCAGTCTGTGGTTTGAAAAAGCTACTAAAGATTTGTAAGGATTATGCATGTATCCATGGGCTTGTATACAATGTCGTCAAAAGTAAATGCATGGTGTTCGAGGATGTCGGTGCCAAATGTCCGTTGACCTTACCACCTGTTCGACTCAATGGTGTCCCTTTAAAAAGAGTAGATCAATTCACTTATCTGGGGCATGTGGTTACCGTCGACCTCAAAGACCATGCCGATATCGAGCGGGAACGGAGGGCATTGTCTAGGAGAGCCAATATGCTGGCCCGCCGATTTGCACGATGTTCCATCGCTGTAAAGATTTCTCTTTTTCGGGCCTACTGCACGTCTTTGTATACGTGCAGTTTGTGGGCAAAATACTCGCAGAGGATATATAATTCCCTCCGAGTTCAATTTAATAACGCATTTAGGGCGGTATTGGGGCTGTCTCGTTTTTGTAGCGCATCGGGCATGTTTGCTGCAGCGAACACCGACTGCTTTCACGCAAGTATGCGCAAAAGAGGAGCCTCCATGGTGAGCAGGGTTCAGGCCAGCTCCAATGCCGTCCTGGCTGTGATTGCTAGTAGGCTGGACTGTCCCTACATCCGACATTGCTGTGAAAGACACGCCCCACGATGTCGGAGGGAGAGACTATTTTAATGACGATATTAGTGACGAGTAATTTAATTTAATTTTTAGTAATTTCATTTTTAATTAATTTATTAATAATTGATTATGAATTTAATTGAACTGTATTGTATTTTATATGTATATTTTTAATTATCTAATTCAAATGTATCACAATATGGGTTATTATCACCTGAAATAAAGATTATTATTATTATTCCTATATTTATAATTTACTCTTCCCGACCCCTCGACGATTCGAGGGGTGGGAGGATTCCCCCTGGCAGAGGAGGCCAGACGGCCGGGGGTCAGGGCGACAAAGAGAGAAAACGGCGGACGATCCTTGCGTTATCGAGCAAGATCGCCCGCTGGAGCCTTGCACTCATTGGTCCGTCACGGAGTCCCAACCTCTTCAGATGGTCGTGAAGAGAAGTTGGGACTAGGCCATTCGTTGACACTACGACTGGGATGATCTCAGTGGATGACACTCGCCACATATCGGTAACCTCGTGCGCCAGGTTCAGATATTTAAGTTTTTTATCTGATTCGGCTTTCACGAGGTTTTCATCGAATGGTACGGTGACATCCACTAAGAACACCCGAGATTCCGCCCGGTCCATCAGTACGATATCAGGCTTGTTCGCAGGAACAGTCCTGTCCGTAATGACGGACCGGTCCCAGTACAATCGAGCGCGGTCGTTTTCAAGAACTGGCTCCGGCACATACTTATAGTACGGCACCTTTTCGCCTATGAGGCCGTATTTGAAGGCTAGCTCGAAATGGAGTATTTTGGCTGCTTGGTCATGTCTGTGCAAGTACTCGGTATTAGCCAGTACAGGACAACCGGAAGTAATATGCCTGAGTGACTCACCGGGCTGGTGACAGGCTCTACAAACGTCCTCTATCCCATCCTTCAGGATATACCTCCGATAGTTTCGGGTCATAATGACCTGGTCCTGTATTGCACAGACAAAACCTTCGGTTTCCCCAAAGAGGTCCCCGAAGCGCAGCCAGTGCACGGAGGCTCTCGGATCCACGTGACGCTCGTGTAGCGCCTTATAGAACCTACCGTGCAGCTCCTTCTCCCTCCAAACGGCCTCTCGGTCAGTGGTGCTAAGTACTGCCGGTTCTCGCCATTCCTCGGTGGCCAAAGGGAGAGGGGTTAGTCCTACATCACATGCTTTGACATCTCTATGCAACTCACTGGATTCCGATTTCGCCAGGAAGTAATTACGGAGACTGTATATCTCGCGGTTGTGCAGGGTTTTCGCACTGAGCAGCCCACGACCGCCGCTCTTCCTCGGGATATACAGCCTCATCACTGACGATCTCGGGTGGTGCATCCTATGGAGTGTCAAAGTTGTGCGGACTTTCCGATCCAGGGCGTCCAATTCGGTCTGAGTCCATCTGAGTATGCCAAAGGTGTACATTAGGACTGGCATGACCCAACCGTTAATGGCCCTGACTTTGTTGACGCCTGACAGGTAGCTTTCAAGCACCTTAGTCAGGCGTCCCAAAAAGGCCTCCTTAACGGATTGTTTCACGTCCGCCATATGCACACCCAGATTCTGTGACATACCCAGATACCGGTATGTATCAGTTTCGGAGAGGGTACGGATGGTGGATCCATCCGGTAGGTCCACTTAGGTGGAATCACTTATCCGACCTCTCTCCACATGGATAACCGCACACTTGTCCAGCCCAAACTCCATGCTGATGGAGCTACTGAAATCCTTTGTGATTTTCAGCAGCTCCGCCAGCCTCTGAGCATTTGGAGCAAGCAACTTGAGATCATCCATGAAGAAGAGGTGAGATATTTTGAACAATCCTCTCTTCAACTGAAAACCTGTCCCTGGTTTATCCAGCAAAGTGCTAAGCGGATTTAGGGACAGGCAAAACCAAAGTGGACTCAGACAATCGCCCTGGAATATACCCCTCTCAATCTTTATTCGGTCTTCCGCATCCGAGAGCTGCACCCCGAACAGACTAAGCTGCGTACTCCACTGCCCCATACAGGTCTCGAGGAAGTTTCGAACTGTACTATCGATCTTGTACAGCTCGAGGACCCTCTTCAACCACGTATGGGGAACCGAGTCAAACGCTTTTTTATAGTCTATCCAGGCTGCAGAGAAGTTGCGTCGGTTGCGTTTGACCTGTTGGGCCACGACCGCATCGATCAGGAGAAGCTCCTTTGAACCGCGGCTCCCGCCCCTGCATCCATTCTGAGTGTCCACCATGATATGATTGTGCTCAACGTGAGCATCAATCTTAGCCTTCAGAATGAATGTCATTGCTTTGTAGGTGGTACACAAGCACGTTATGGGGCGGTATTGTGACGGATCCGCGGTATTGGTGGACTTTGGAGCTAAGTGAGTGACCCCAGTTGTTAAGAAGTTTGGGAGACTTCGCTGTTCTAGGGCGTCTTGGAATTGGCGTGCAAGGAATGCGTGGCATGAGCGGAAACTCTTCAACCAGTAGTGGTGCAGTCCGTCAATCCCTGGAGTTTTCCAGTTCGGAGCTTTACGGACCGCAGCCAACACGTCATCCGACTCTATGGTGATGGGGTTCATCGCATCTATCGATGCACACGCTTCCTCTATAGGCGCCATCCATTCGCCCTCTATGTGCTCCACAGGCCGGGACCAGATGTTTCGCCAAAAGGCAATGACATCTGTGACATTCGGTCCTTGGTCAGTGGAGGGGCCAGCTCGTGTCTCCCATGTACGGTAAAACTTCTTTTGGTCACTCCCAAAGAGACGATTCTGGCGTAACCTTGCCCCTCTCTCGGAGTACCGCCGTATCCGACTTCCCCAAGCCGCAATTTTCTGTTTCAGGTCATCGATGCGCTCCGACACTTTTCGCATTAAGGCGGGGTCTGCAAGACTGAAATCTATCCCCGCCATTGCCATGTGTACGAAACGCATCACCCTCGGCCTCGTATTGCCTGACCTGAAACTAATCAGTTTGCCGATGAGGACTCTAGTCTCAGCAATACGTTTCTCAATCCTCTTACGCCACGCCGGAGTCTCTCCCAGTGGGCACTTTGGCGCCGATGAATCGACAGACCGCCAATGCGGCGCCAAATAGGATCGAGTTGGTATCACTGAGACAGCCGCTTTCTTCCAAGTATGGAAGAAGCATTTGGCTTACTGCCTCAACGACATCCCGATTTTTACGACTTAGGGGTATCCTCGGGATTTTCGGCCTCTCCTCAAGTGGGAGCTCGCGAAATTCGAGAATCGCCTCTTCAAGTAATCCCCTGATCTGCTCTAAATTCTGGGCAGTTGCGTCGTCTACCCTTCCCGTTTCATCAGGAGCAGGACTGGCCA